TTATATAATATTCTTTAAAAACTTTTTTTTATTTGTATATTCTCTATTTTCTTAGGACTTTTTTTTTATATTAAGTAAATTTTGAGAAGGTTTATTATTACTATAATTTGTTTAAATTATAAACTACTGTTTTTAAATATCTTTGATTTGCAGATTCAAGCAAGAGGAAGAGGCTCGTAGAGAAGGTGGTTCCCTATTTTTTTTCAATAATATTTTGAAGCTGGTCAAGTGCGGCCCGCGTGTCCCTTACAACATTTTTTAAAAAGTGTCTTTACGCCTTTTTTTAAAAATAATAATAAGCAAACTTATAGGGTTCGTAAATAAAAATAAAGAGATTATTTGTTATATAAAAATACGAAACCTTTTATCACTAAAATGCGTTTCGTCGTGGATATTATTATTATAATATTATAAAAATAATGAATTTATTATTATACAATGTTTTATAACACAATTATGTTATTTATTTCAATAGTTTCTCTGATTCGAGTAAAAAAAAAGTCTAATTTATTGGCTTTCATTATTATAAAAAATGTTGGGAAAAAAAACAATTAAGTGTACGCCAATCAATTTTTTTAGGATTAAATGTGTATTATGCAAAAGCTGATGTCGCAGATCAGCCCGGTCTCCTACTTTTTTGACCACAGTTTGTACACTGGCATGTGTGCTTATTTATGGAGAAAAACTTATGATTATTTTTTTTATTTATCATAAGTGGATATTAATTCTATTTGTAATTTTTGTGATTGGCCAAAAATTTATTTTTTTTGATATACTGGCCCTCTAATTTATTTATTACTAAAAAGTTTTCAACTTTTTTTGTTCAATATTTTTTTAACAGGAGGAAGTGAGTTTACTACCAAAACCGGCATTTATTACGTGCTGAGGGTAACTTCTTATTTTAGAATAATTGAAAGGTTTATTTATTTATGAGTCAACAGTACTGAACTACGTTGAGATCTCACTGGTTTCTTTTAGTAGCAAAAGTGTGCTTTTCAATAATTTTATTGAGTAATATTTATAAAAATATAACGTTTGTTACAGGTTTTTGAAAATTTTATTATTTTACACTTTGTTTAGCGCTGTTTTTCGGAAGCACGTTGGCGATCACGTGCTTCAGCATTGAACATCCCTACCATTATTTTTGGTAACTGTCTATTCTATTCGCAGAAGCTATCACCTGTCTTCACCGCTACTGTGCCACATTGAATATTAATACGCACACAGCATGCGCCCCTGTTTATCACGTGACCAATGCCAGGTTTTAAAAGTTTAGTAGACTCGATGAAGCTAACGGACAAATTGATTGGCCGGAATGTACATCTTCCACCGCATGCATCGAAGGTACAGTTGTTGGGGTTTCTTATACTTTTACAGAGTTAAATTTTTTTATATCAAGTTAATTTTAATTTCATTGTTTATTTTTTGTCTTATAAACTTGTGATTGGCTGCTTTTATACAGTCATACCAATCATATAATTGCTAAGCGGTTGACACTTTTGCAAATTCTTTCTCTGGGGGAAACTCTAATAACCCGCCTTTCTTCTGTATGTCTTACTGCTTCCGTTACATTCCCTTATAATCATTTGTTGAACTCATTATTTTCAGGCACTGTTCAACTGCCTGGTGATTCGCCTGTTTCGGTTTCTTTTACTTTGGAATATTATGATATTATCTATTTCAAGGCTTGGTTTTATAGTTTGTTATGCCCCCTGATAACTAACGCGGCTTCTCCTCTAAAAAGAGAATCCGCCAAGAAACTGCATTGATAGCATGTCAGCGCTTGTATCTTGCTGGTGCCACGTGGCTTTCCTTAATTTTATTGCTGGTGGAGTTTATCTTTTATTTTAATTAATTTTCTATAGGAGCGCTCGATGAGCATCTGCTGCCAACGTCCATGCAGATCCTTAAAAACAGCGACCTCATGAAATCAGCCCCCTTGATGCCCAATCAAAACTATCGATTGCATTTCCCCATGTTTTTACGGTTTAACAAAAAAACTTGCCCAGCGAAGCTGCGCCAAGAAGTCATTTGTCAAGCACTGCTCCAACAGTGCAGTGCAGAAGGGCTTGTACTCGCGGGAAATATTAAACAAACTTGTTATTTTGAGAACTCAGAGTTGCTAAAGGCGCCAAAGTTTCAAGGAGCTTTTCCTTTATAAGTTCAACTCTCTTGACTGGAAGGGAACGCCAGTGTCCTTAAAGTTTGCCGCGAAACAGTGTAGCAATAATTTGTGCTTATTAACGCTTGGGCCACTCAATCAGGTTATTGGTGTAGTTTTTTATGAAAATTCGCTCTATACTATTACTTAAATTTGTAATCACACGTGAATAGGAGGTCATCACTTTCCTCTAATTGGTTAGTATGAAAAAAATTAAAAGTAACAAGCGCGGTTTACAGGGTTGTTTAATCTATTTTAATTTTATTGATAAATTTTATGATTCGTTTATCTTAATCGCTGATTCCTTTGTGTTCGGTTTAGTTTGGTGTTCGTGCATATCATTGGCCAATGTAAGAAAATACACGGTGTTATTTGCAGTACGCGCTGAGATAGTTCCCTGCACATGTTTTATAAGGGCGTTTTTTGGGCCTATTATCTTTTCAGACTGATAAATTATTAGCTTTTATATAGTTATATCGTTAATTTCTTTGGCTTAAATTGGAAGTTTCATTTACAAGTGTTCGATTGGTCCACATAATCTATTTCGTAGGCTCATTTACTTCTAATAAAGAGCAAGTAAAACTTCTCTGGCAGGCGTATTGCCACACATTGGCCACTGCTATTGATCCTCGCGACTATATTGGTACTTTTCACTAAGATTCATTGTTTTACGGCAATTTCGATGATTGGTTAATAATTTCAAGCTCTTTATAACTTGTTTTATTATTAAAAATTCTTGTTTTAATTCTAATGCAGAGTTTATCTGCTTACACAACTCTGCATATAAATATTTTTAGGATTTTCCTTCAAAAGCTTATCTAAAAATTCGAGAAATTTTTTATCGCGCCGTATCGGAAAAAAAATTTCCGACAAGCTGACGCCGAAGAGGAGTCTTCTTTTTTATTAAAGAACGAGAGCGACATTCCAGTAGCCAATCGAATAAACTGGAGTGTGACCAAAAAACTTTCTCTTCATCTCGGGCAGTTGAAGCGACGCTATAAAGAAGAGTTGACCTCCACTAAAGAACCTATAAACGAGTTGAAATTGTCCGCTGACCTTTTGGAGTCTGCCAATGCGGTAGAGCCGTGGAATAACAATGGTAACGACAATAATAAAGTTACTTCTATAGGAGCTTCTAATAATAATCTTATACTAATTAATAAGGTTATAGAATTTGATGTTGACCTAAATATACAGAACAACATCATTACTTTTAATGAAACTATTCTAAGAATTGAGTACATAAATATAAATAATTATTTAGGGAACGAAAATAATAGTACTACTGATAATAATAATAATAATGGTAATAATGATTATAATAATAATAAAAATAATATTAAAATAGTTTTAATAATAGTGATAGTAATAACAAAAGTAATAATAATAATAAACACCAACCCAACCACAACGAGATCACTTTACTTCCGAAAAACGAAAAAAACATGTATTATTCGAACTCTACAGGAGTGGGGAGAAAAGTTATATGTAATTGAGGTTCATTAACTTCTTTCCTTTTTTTTTATATATTTTTATTATATCAATAAAACTTCTGTGACTGTTAAAGAAAATCTTTTGTTAATATTTTTTGGGCGTGTTTCTCTTATTACTTGCCAATATATAAGAAATGAGTCTGCTTTCACCAATAAGTATAGCGTATCAACCTTCTTATTGGCTATTTTATCGCTTTAGTTTTAGTCCCTCGAAAACACAACCGCGTGCACTATATTTACTATTATTGGTTCGGCAAAGTATTCTTTTAGATGGTCAGTTAAGCTTTATTTGTTAATTCTAGTACGCTTTTTCCTGCAGGGCATGCACCGTTCATCTTCTTGACACTCACGTGGGCGAGTGGAGCGAGGCTGATAAGGCCGATTCAGAGTACACCCGCCAGTTTTGCCTGCATGCTTTTTCTAAGCCACTCCAGAGGAAGTATTATAATGTTAATAAGAACTAGGAGCTTCCCTCCACAGCAGAGGTTTGAATTTTGATTGGTTTTTAGAGGCTTCCTTGTTTTTCAGGCTCCTTTTTTTATATATTTTATTAGCAAAAGGCTAAGAAAAAAACACATATTCGCAATACTATACGGGATTGGTTTAGAGTTTTTCGTTCTCGTTTGCACTTTTCTAAAAGAAAAACGCCTCTTTTTATTGCACGAGTTTTACTTCCTTTTGAAAGTATTTTTTTTAACAACAAAAATTATAGTGACTTAATTTTTTTTTCATGGAATATTATGAAATTTAAAAAATGTTTAAATTTATATAAATTCATTTTAAGTATCACAAAATATATGGAAACGTAATGAAACTATTAAAAGTAATTGATTGACCTCAACTATTAAAAAAAATAAGATATTTTTATGTAACTGAATTTTTTATTACAAACGAAAATGTTTATTGATTTGTATTGCAATTGAAAAGTTTTTTAACCCCAACACGTGTACTCTGGAGGTGGCACTATTTTTTATTCACTTTTTTCCTAACAAACTTCGAGGTATTCATTCGATACACTTTGGGACGACCTCCCGCTCTTCCCGCTCTCGTTTGCATCTCAGAAAAATATATATTTTCTTTTTTTTATTACAAACTCAAAGAATTTTTTTATGTTGGGGATTTTTTTGCCTACTTTTTAGATATTTACTTGTTCCTTCGCTTTGCCGCCCTTTCGGAGGTATTCCCTAACGTTTCATCTCTGGCTGTTGCATACTTCTTACTTTGCTATGCGACTTTGAATATGTTTCTAGCGTTACTGGTGGGCGGCCTTCATTTGTCTCTTTCTCTATTGGCTTATCTTTGTCTTCATTTTATTAAAGAAATTTCTTATATTATTATGAAATTTTGTCTGAACGCATAAATTTTGTTTTTTATTTTCTTTTTTATTAATTTTATATTTTTCGTTGTTTTTTGTGAACTGTTCTATTATATCTTTTAATTTTACTGGCGGCAACTATCCCCTTGTTTTTAAAGACTTATTCCTATTCGTTACTATTTCTAATATTTATTGGCTTGAAGAACTTTATTTTGTTTAATATTAAAAAGATTTTTTTTCTCCTTATTTTTCTTTAAAAACTTTCCATTGGCCCTTAACTGTTGAGTTCGACTAATAATGAAACTATTTATAATTTTCGATGAATGTATTTCCTGAAGATAGCTTTTAAAAAAAAAAACTTTCATATAAATCTTTGCTTATGCCCTTAACCAGGTTTTTTTTAATTTTTTTTTTGAATCATTAAAATTTTTGATTTGATAATTGCGTAGTAGTTTGTGTATTACCGGAAATTATTTAACTGATAATGAAAGGCTTGAATTTTTGGGTCGTCCTTGTAATCATTATATTCAATACGTCAGTATCTTATTATCTTCAATATTAATATTGAATAGAAATACAATTTTTATTGAATTAATATTATTCTCTTGCTAACAGACTCATTATTATTATGACCATTTTTTAAGGAGATTCTTGATTGAAATATTTTGTTACTATTCTCACTTTTGAGAGTGAAAATAGTATATTCCACGAAGTTATTGTTTAGACATTAAAAAAGTTTCATTGAAAATAATGAAAAAAAAATAGTACTTCTTTTTATTGGCTTTAAAAAAAAAATTGTTATTACCTAAATAAGTGTATTAGGGAAACTTTAAAGAAATAAGTAAAACCACTATTCTGATAATGAGCAAATGTATAGTTTACGAAAACTATCGTAATAGAAACTATCAGGAAAATTTAGGAAAAATACTGAATTTAACAAGTAGAATTAGAGACAAGAAAGAATAATAAACATATAAAAAAATTACAAGTTGAATTTTTTTCATTTACTGCCCTCTGCTATTGGATAATATTTTATTTATTTGCAAAAGGCCATTCTCAGTAAAATCCGCGCCGGCATTGTTTCCAATAATAATCTGGCGGCGTGTGGTCTGGAAGTCAACATTCCGTCCTTCATAAGGACTGTTTCATTCTAGCCCGGTTGGGCATTAAATATAATGCAGTATTTGAATTAGAAGAATAATAAAATAAGGAAAAGATGAACTAGAAAAATACTTTATTTACTTGCAAAATTGTGGTTTTCATGTACATATTTGTAAACGTTAGTAAAATTCATGAATATTTTGATTAGTTTTTGTATGCCAGTAAAGCGTTTGTTATAAATATAGTTGATAATGTTAGTAACTATAATGAAAAATAGTTGCAGGGTTGCCCCCTTTTTCATTATTTATTTGATATATTTTTATGCTTTCCCAACGAATTTATTATTTTTATAATGAAATATTATTTTAAAATTTATATTTCTTTTTTTAAATGAACATAAAATATCAACCATTAATTATTATCCCTTTTTAGTTGGTCAGTCTATATTTTTAGTGGTCCTTAACTTTTTCATATGGTGATAGGAGGAGGACTCTTCTCGCACAAGTACTTGCCGTCATTTATAGCACTCGGAAGACCCCTTCCGCAAAAAACCTCAGAAACCCTGGCGACAATTCTATTTGTTTTGCTATTGGTGTTTTATTTATTTTTTTAATGGCTGTTTAGTTATGAACAGCACAATCTTTCAAGTAAAAGAATAGGATACCGTCGAGACCATATTCGGTTGCCTTAATTATTATTAGTATTAGTATTTATTTTTATTTATTATTATTTATTTTTCGCAGGCTCCGCTTATTTACGTTCTGAATTTGCTACTATTAAGTGCCTTCACAAACTAAATATTCTTCCGCCTCGTCACCAACAAATGGAATTTTTATTTTATATTTTATCGTTTCCTTAATAATCGTGATGATGTTATAAAAATATTTTCAAGTTATTGTATGAACATGAAATACATACTGTTTTAGAGGCTTACAGAGAGACTTCTTATACTTCCTCTTGAAAAGGTTTGCCCTTAGAAGATGCCAACGTTATTAAAAGATTTATATCTAATAAGGAGAAGGTTGTATTTTTTTAATGTGCTTACGGGTCAATTTTTTGTCCCTTTATAAACCAACTTGGTGATTTTTATTATAATGCGCAGAATAAATCTACCAATAAAGTAGTAAAGTTTTGGAACCAATCCGCTCCTACTGAATTACTACTTTTCGAAGTACCGCAAAAAAATAGTGATCAAAACTTTATAAATAAAAAAGAGAGGATAGTGAAGGCGTGACCTTTACAAATACGAAGGCCTTATAAATCCTCTTCAGAAAGTTATTCCTTATGAATTCAAAGACCTGTAATTATTATTATCACTATTGTTGTTGATATTATATTCCTTATAATTATTGTTAACGTCTCTTCAGTTCGCATTTGTTTAGGGCTCATACGCACGGCTCTGCCACCTCGGAAGTTTGAGGTAATTGGTTTGTGGATCATTTCCATGCCATGTTATTATTTGCACTATTATATATAAGTACGCTTTATGTCTCATTTTGCTAAAAATATACATACTTGATCCAAAATAATATCATTTGCTCATGCCTGCTGCCTTTTTATCCAGGATGTTATCAAAATTCGAGTACATTGGCTACGCTCTTCTTGACATTTCTGTTACTGCTCGACCCTACTTGTCCAATAAAAATAAATGGATGACGCTAGGTGTCCTATCAAAATGCGAAGAAAAAATTGTCTCTAATGGATTTTTGGCGCGCTTGTGTTTGTTTCATGAGTTTTACAAGGTTTTCATTTGCGTATTAACTTTTTATTGCGAATGTTTTTACTATAATCATTTACTTGTTATTTTGACTATCTAGTGATGTAATTTTTTTTTTGATTTAGTATTATATCTATTACGAGGAATGTCTTCTTCATTGCTACACACATCTGATTAGATATTATGCTTTTTTAAACTACTTTATCTATATAACTTTTATATTCATTACTTTTCCTAGTATATGGATTCAGTGCTAACCGAATTATAGAAAAGTTTTGTATATTTCATAACATTTAGTTTTTAAATTTTCGGAAACAAGAATTTTTCAAGCTGTTAGTTATTATTATGAAAACTTAATTTATCATACATAATAAATGTATTTATACATGATTTTCAAGGCATTCAACATTGCTCTCTTGATACGAGCCGAAGCATCACTACTTTTATGAACCAATGCCATGAGACCGCCAAGTCCGAAAATGGAGAGATTCTGACCTCCATTGCCCACCCGAAAGTTTTGGGAGACATAGTAGAGTCCATTATCGGGGCGGTCTATGCGGATTCTCTGTGTGATTCCAGGAAAAGTATGAAAGTCATTGAGACACTAGTACCTTGCCCGTACTAGTAGCGAATAATGAATAATCATAATAGTAACTTATAATAATTAATAGAGTTATGACAATTATCCTACCCAACACGATTATAATCATAATTGCAATAATTATAACAATTACTATGTTTGGTTAAAAAGCTTAACTGTGCCAATCAGTTTTGTTTGTAATAATATGCCAATAAAGAAATCTAAGACTGTTACTGTTTTGAAGTTGATCCACGTGATGATCTGTGATTTTATTGTGAACGGCTTTTTTTCACCGTCACAATCGTCGTGGGAAATAGTCATCGTCAGTAATGAGTCTGGCAGGCTCTATTAAAGATAATTTTTTACTGTTTTATCTAATGGTGGTTTTTGAACTTAGTTATCATGGCCTCGTGCTTTTCTGTAGGACAGAAACAAATGGGCGTGTAGATCAGCTTTTGTATCCAATCCGACTGCGCCCCTTTCAATTTTGCTAATGACACTGTAACTCGTATTTAGTATCAAAAAGCGATTTACAAGTGCAAATAAGCAAAATAGGAAGCGATTAAGTTTTTCGACCCAACGAATAAGCGGACTTGGAATATTTAAATAAACTAACCCCTCCGCCTTTTTAATGGCTGTATAACTATTTGTTACGACAAAGCACATTTTATGCACAAAAGATACCAATTTTATTAGAGTATGTATTATTAAGTTGCTTATAAGTAGCGCGTTAAAAGTACTTAATCGTGCTTCCCAAAAATTTTTAGTGAAGCATTTTCCTTAATAATCTTCATTAACAGATGCCCTGTTAATTGCGAATTGGTAATAAAAATGTTTTACTGAAAAAAAAGTTCCGTGGGTGACCACGTTGACATCATTCAAGTCCCCGGGTCATTAGAGGATTTTATATCACACAAACATTCACTACAGTATATTTAGCGCGGCGGTACACAGTAAATACGTTTGTGATCAAAGCTTTTCATTATGTTCATTGAATGACTTTAAAAATACCCATAAAATATGCAACCAAATAAAAATACTATTCCAAAACTGTTTTATTATCGAACCCTTTAAGCGTTTGAAGCTGCCACTCCAATTCTTCTATTTCTTTTAAAAGTTTTCCATATTTCTCTGCAATTTCACTAAATCTTTTGATAAAAGGTTAGCAGAACTGTAAAACTGTTGAGTTTGTATTACTATTAAAACTTATTTGTAACACTTTTACGAAAAATTCTACAATCAGCTATAAAAGTAATATTAATAATGAAGTTTAAGAAAACCAATAAAAGAAATTGTTGAGTTACCCCGTTCCCAAGTTTTCGTACTCGCAGAGTTTCAACTTCAGTTGGGATTCGCGCACATGTGCTTGCTCTAGCTCGTTTTCTAAACTTTCTCTGTTTTTTAAAACGTTTTCAATATAAAAATTTAGTGGCATTTTCATAAAGTTAGAGAAGCGCATTATTGTATGTAACCAATGAAGCGCGTGCTGTAGTGCAAAGGGCCAATAACTTAAAGCCTAAGCACGAGGTTCACGTGCCTAACGAACTCTGCATAAAATTACGTTTCTGCGTTATCTCTACGTATAAAAATAAGCCCCTCTTAAGTTTTAGGCAACGCCTACAAGTTACTGGTTTTATGTATTATTTACTTTTTGTAAATATTATAATGAACTTGTTTATAATTACAAGGATTTTAATGAAGTTGGCAAGTAAACCTTATAAGTTGATGACACCTGACCACCTCTGAATCATAAGTCTCCAATAATATTTCGCACTTCAGTTTCCTTTTTAATAAAAAATATTATCATATTATAAAAAATAAAATACTTTAGAATAGAAATAAGTTTATTATAACAAAAATAATGAAAGAAAAAAAATAAAAACTTATAAAAAACCTTGACTAAAAAGTATATATATTTATATAAAACGAATACTAGTACTTTGAAAAATGTTGAGCTAACAATAACATAACTATAAACTTTACAATGAAAAAGACCATAAAATAAAAATTAAAAATAATAAATAATGATAGGTAATGAGTATATTCTAAAAATATGAGAAAACTAAAAACAGTAAAAATGTAAAATGAAAATAATGAAAAAAATGAGTAAAAATAATGAAATCTTAAAGAAAAAGAATGTTGTTTTATAAATAGAACAAAAGTTATATAAAATACAAGTAAATATAAATAAAAAAGTTATTACTGCGAACAGAATAGTTAATATTTATAACTAAAATATGATCTTCACAAAAAAATATACTTGTATTTATATAATAATAGTGAATTAGAATACTAAACCAATAAGAAAATAGTCCTTATTAAACTGCTGTTAATCAAATAAAATAATAATAGAATAATAAGATGTATACATTTAATTATTTCTAATAAAAGATAAAAAAGTTATTAGTTTTCATAATAATTACAGCTAATCGTCTAAAAATATAACATAAGTTTATGCATTACATAGATAGGTTTAAAAAAATTATATTTAGCACATATAAATGGGTTATATATATAAATAATAAGATAACAAAGTCTAAAAAAAAAGATTTTCCTGAAAAATTATTGAAAAAATAATATATATATTTAATCAAAATAGAAATAGTTTTTTTTTAATAAATATTAATAATTCACTTTATTTTCTGCATCAACGCGTTGGACTTTTTTATGCACCAATTGACGGACACATCATCTTTTGTATGTTGCGTGTGATATTCAATAGTGTATAAAAGTACGTCAAGAAGCTCGATTTTGGCCTGATGGAATAGCAGTATTAGTAGCAGTAATAATAGTAATGATAATAATAATCATAATAATAAACCTTCTGAATCTCAAACTTAATAAAAAGTATATTCCTTTTTACGATTCTAACATTTAATGTTATAAATAATGAGCAAATATTCTATAAACGATATATAAAGAAAACTTTCCTTATTTTATCTTGTAGTGTTTCAACGCTGTCACTGTGCAAAACTTCCGAATAATCAGTAAAAAGTTCTTCAAAAACTTTACTCTGCTGTTTAAGGTGAGCCGTGAGGATACTCAAAAGTTCTTCTTTCTCCTTTTTTTAAAAAAAAAATAAATAAAAGCTTCTTTTTCTATATAATAATATTATTCTATAAACTAGAAATATAATTGTTTACGTTATTTCTATATAAATTTTACTATTTAATATATATTATTATTGCAAACATTATCAGAAAGAAAACGCTTTTGAAAATATTCATCGGGATCGAGGTCGAGAGGCTCAAAGTGCTTGCTGTTATCCTTTTATATATAAAAGAGTTACAGATGATACTAAATAATGGTATTAATATATAAATATAAAATATTACAAAAAATTAAAAATTCATTATAATAATCTTTTAAATGTTTTAATTTTAAAAAAAAAAGGTTTTAATCTTATACTGAAAAACGTGAACAAAAGTTATAAAACTCGATAAATATATTATTACAAAAATTTATAAAAAAATATAACAATTTTTAAATTCTTATATAATATGTAAGACAAGAATTCTAAAAAAAAAATTAATAACTGCAAAAATATATTGTATTCCTTTAAAATTTAACAAATTAATCAAAATAATATTAAAATGAAAGTAATAATAGAAACCATTTAAAAAAATAATAACATAAATTAGTACTAAGATTTTAATAAATTGAAAAATTAAATAAGAACTCAAGAATTTTATATGGCCTCTAGAAACATTAAGTAAACATAATAGGCAGAAAATATTAAACTTTCAGTAAACAAACATATACTAAAGAGAAGTTTCCAAAAAATTAAAAAAAAATTTTTAAAAGGAAGAAACGCAAATATACAAATATAGTAAACCTCCAGAGGTGTAAAGCATTGACTACAAAAGTACTCGGTAACGGCCTCTAACAATCTTCCTTTGTTCTACAGATAATTTAAGTATAGTATAGTCAATGCTAATAAAAAAAAAATGAAATAAATTTCTAATCATACAAAATAACAAGCGTTGCAATAAAAATAAGGGTAATACTAGGCGCAGTAAAGGAGGTATAAATCTGTAAAGTTGAACAAACCGGAGACTTCACCAATGTATTAAAAGAAAATTGCATTCTTATATAATTTATAACAAATATAATCAATTCAACTATAATTAACTTCTTACTTTTTAGTACGAGACCAAGAGGAGAAAATAAAGATGATAACCATAGAAGTTAGTTAAAATTGTTTTATAACTATCTATAAAACTTTTCGCTGTTTTAATAATTCTCGAGACTTTTATAATATACCATTAATGAAAAAAAGGAGGTCCCCCAAAAATGCCAAAAGAAACTAAACAGATAAACAAAGCCTCATCCCTTAAGAAACCCTCTAGACTAACTTTTCTAACAAAACTTAAACTAGCAATAATCTAATTAACTATAATAAAAGAAAAGCATTAAAAAAGAGAAATAAATTTCTTTATTTATTATTAAAAGTTTATATAGTTATTTACCTTAAAAAAGCTATACAAAATTGTATATTTATTTTATAAAATATAAAAATTTAACCAAAACAATAATTTCCTTTACAGAAGTCAAATATCTATAATAGTAAACAATTACCTGTGTATACTCGTGTGAATTTTTAGAAGTGATTAAAGCTTCTTGTAAAGAATTTAAGATAAAACAAGGTATCAAATTTCTATTTAGAAAAATATTCATAATACTGTATAGATATATGTTAATTTAAGGAGTACCTGCCCTTAACACGCTTGTATTCTTCTACAGTCTACAATTTTTTAAAAAATAACACTTTATACAGAAAAGAAATTTATAAAACTTTAAAAAATCGAAAAACACTTTTTAAAATAAGATATAGAAAAAGTTATAACTTGAGCATATTTTTGCTTAATTTTTTTATTAGCCCCGCAAGGGTCTACATGCAAACTATAAAGATCTGACAATAATTGTTGAAACTTCGGATTTGTACTGAATGTTTCAAAATCTACTAGCGCTGGTAAATTCTTGTAGGCTGCAGGAAAGGATAAATATTATTATAAAGTTGCAAATGTATAAGATTAACATGTTTATAAGAAGTCAATTATTACAGAACAAATTAGTACTACTAACATTAAAACTAACCATTACTAGCTAAATCGATATCTGAATCTTTTAATTTAGTTTTTATAAATTCCCCTAAGTCAAGTGCCATTATAATTCATAACATACTACAAGTTACTAGAAACAGATCTACATGAGTTACAAAATTAAAAACAAAATCCTTGTGGGAGTGGTTTCCTTTGAGGGCTGAGCACTTTTCCGTTTACCTTTGCTCACATTTTTTATACTGCGTGATATTACTTCTTACTCAATCCTAGCTTCCTTTAACGTTTCATATCGCCTTACTTTATCTACAACACTTTTTTCCAGGAACACTTGGGTACATAACTCTTCTTAAACTCGCATGGCATTTGACTTTATGAACGTGTCGTAACACGTGGGAGTATAAATATAAAAAGATCCATGAAACCGTAATAATAAGCTTATTCCTCTAGATGAAAACAGATTCGATAAATGTCATAAGTACGAATATATGTTTTAAACCTTTTGAGTCTTCATGCCTCCTGAGAGCTATATATAAAAGAACTAAATTAGATGTATAAATTTAAACTTTGTAAAAAAGGGGTCTTGTTTATTTTATGGGCCATGGTCAAAAATACCCTTTGCACGTGCTTATTTATATGGGACACCTATCATCTATTTTTTTCTCCTCTATTTCTTATTAAATAGGTAAACTTAAAAAGTTTATAATTATTAAATAAATATGCTGCGTTTAATACTAATTCCAGAAACCTGTATTACTTTTCAGTCTATGATAGACTATATGTTATCTGTATTATATTACCTTAATGTCTATAAAGTGTAAGTTTATAAAGGCTTCCACTCAGCATACTCAACGCTTGGTAAAACTGTAACCCCCTGAATTTTACTCTTTGTGAGGGTTAAGCAAGAATTAATCGCTTATCACAGTTAGTCTGGTAAAAGAGTTCATATAAGGACCATTTCATACATTGTAAGAAAAAGCAGACACCGTTGACTTTCAACGGCTCGAAAATTCCGTGGTGCCTTCAAATAAATACCTAGCAGCTTTTTAGTTGTAATGGCGTCTGCACGTGAATTATGTAGTGGCAAAGGTTCAAGGCGGTTATCTAGTGGCTATATCCTCTAATGTGTAGGAAAAGTAGGCCTTTCGTTGCACATTAAGCCTTCGCTTAATGTGCTGCGCACTCTGTCGAATGCCACATGCTCCTTTGGCAAACGTGTCGTGGTTTGTGCGCATTTTAAAGGGGGGGCGAGGTTGGATATGCAACTATCAAAAACCGGAAAAGAGACTCGACGGTGAAAGTCAATCTCAAGGATTTGAATATGCATTTCAATACTTTTAACCGCGGAGGTACGATAACATCTCTTAATAGCGGTATGATGGCTTTACGTTTACAACTCACAATGACAGACATCTTTAGCCGTTTTAAGGTGCTGTTATATTTAGCCAAAGGAGGAGCTCATGCTTTTGATGTTATACAATTTATGAGGGTGAGGTTAAATGCTCAATCATTATAGCTAGAAAAAGTTAGTCGCGTCGTTGGGAATTGAACTCTCGACCTTAAGTAGCTTTGAAACTCTTAACCGCTGAGCTAAAACGACAACTCTCGATCCCTGTACGATGGTTCTACGTATTTAACCTATTCGCCCCAAAGTAAGTCGCCTGTTTAGATTTCCCACTAAGTCAAAAACTACACGCCCATCTCAAGAGGGTAGAAATTTGCTTCGAGCCTTAAGATCGCCTATTAGACAATGCTCTTAAAGGTAAGCAATTCTGGGCCTACGACTCGCCGGCAATAGTCTATTTGCTTCAAGGGAAACAATACGAGCTGTTACGCCCTATGACGGCGCGCCGTGGTTTTTTCGCAATAATGCTTTACATTAAGACCCCTTCAAATTGAACCTCTGGATAATGTTTTTCAACGCAATGCTCTCACCACCACGAACAGTTTAACCAGCATACAAATTGATGAGGTCAACTAAGAGATCAGCTACGCCGAGCATATACAGGCCTATCCGTCCCTTGTCTGCCAAAGTAGCTGAGGAGACCATACTGCGCCGCTTGAAAGCATTTGTTGACTTAAGTCAGCCTGCAGTGTTCCATTTTGTATTTCTTCAAGGACACTCACTCAACAACTCTTTCGCTGGACAGAGTGGACGATCCCTGGCAAAGGGCACCGTCTTTCTTGATGTCAGTACTTTTGACCGAGTTTGGCTCCAGGACTTGCTTCATAAACTGCGCATCATGGCCCTTCTACTATCTTTCTTAACGTGATCAAATCTTACTTTAAGGACTGCGTCTTTGATATACGTCTGGGCGCTCACCCCTAAAACCATTAAAGTCTGAGTCCCACAAGGATCTCTTTAATCACCCCTACTCTTAGCACTTTATGTACGCGACGGATACAGCCTGAGACCCCCGCACGCATATTGCTTTATAGGTGGATGGCACAACGATTTACTTCTCGTCAAAGTCACCCTGCCTCATTGCGTCAACATCTGCAGTACTACCTATTGACGCTTGCCAACTGCTTCCTTCGCGACGATGCCTTACATTAAAAACCTTCAGAATGAACCTTTGGGTAATGTTTTACGATGCTACGCTATCGCTCCCTACGTACGACTTAGTCCGCACACCAACCAATTACTGGCATATGAGGTCAATTACGAAAGCTGGATCTGCTCACCCTATAGGCGACTGCCCGATGGGCTTTAAATATTTAATATGGAGGGTAGAATAATTTTTAATATATATATATATATGTGTGTGTATCTTTGCTTTTCCATAAGCTTAAAGCTAATGCATACGCTATAACCCTGCTGAGATCTCGCAATTTCGGTGTTTCCTTTTATGCCCCCAGCGAGCACTACGAACTAACGAAAAATAAAAAATATTAACGCCCCACTTTCAATTTGCTTTAAAAGGGAGGGTGTTTTGGGGGTGCATTCGTCTTTTTATAGTGGAGGCTTCTATAAATATAGCGTATATAATTTATTGTAATCTTTCCAACTCTTATATACAACTAAACTAATATCGTAAACTGTCGCTAAATTCCTTAATACCATAATAATTTTAAGCTTAGTGAACTTTTTAGCGCAAGGTATTTATAGTTTTTAAAATTTTATGACCCTATTTTGGAGGATCGAAATTTTAATTTAAAATATTATGAGTATCTTTAGTTAGACTTGTATGACTAATGAAAAGCAAACTTAATACTGATCCTTTTATAAAGAATTGTAAATTATGTTAACATGCAATCGAAAAGTGAGTTACTGAACGTGGAACCTATCTATATTGATCACGTGGTGCCTTCAACTCATTTATTTTTTGTGCGTTTTCAAAGTGCTAAGTAGCTTTTGGACTCACAGGCTATATGTTTATCTCCGGTTACTTTTAGTGAAAGTAATGTATTTGTATCATATTAACTTTTTTATATTTACCTATACTTACAGAAAAAATGGGAATTAACATAAAGGATTTAGTTGAAAATTTAAAAATATCTTTTACGACTACTAATAATATTGAGAGAAAAGCGGGTTTTATTATAATATATAGTTTTCCAATAAATCTATAATTTGAATTATTAAAGCTGAAAACCATATTTTGTCTCTGGAAAAGGAAAAAAGCTATGCGCTTTGTTTGCTAAACATAGTTACCTTGAAGGACATTCCTCCCGCTGTGTGTGTGGCAGCTGCAGCTCGATTTAAGAATTTTCTAAAAAGTTATTGGCATGAGGTACTTATTTTTAAAGTGTGTAGCGTAGATATACGTTACTGCCAATTGTTTTACTGACTTAATTTTATTTAACTTATTAAACTACTTTTGGTTGCTTTGATAGGTTTTAGTTTCCAAATATTTAATTTTATAGGTTGCGTTATTTAACATAGTTTCTTTTGTATAATGAAGGACGGTTTTATTAATTATAATATATGTGTTAGTACTAAAAAATATATAAAAAATCAGTACTTTTAGCTTTAAGGTTTTTAATTATAACTACTTATCTTTATTCACATCGTTTTTAACTGTTATTTTATTGGTTATTATTTAGGCTTCAATTTTTTAGAATCTTCTAATTTTTTTTACAATAAATTATATTATTTAATATAGCTTTAAGCCATTATTAGCTTATTTTTATGCTCTAATATATAACTAGATGTTGTGTAGTTAGTTAATCGTTTATTTATTGACGTAATGCAACTTTATCAAGGCAATAAGCTACGTTAGTATCTGTTACCTTATTGGTTAAAGTATTTATTCTACTAGATTTCTGATGAGAACGCTAGAATACTGCCTGATGAAAGGAATATAATCAAGTCCAATATTGTCGAACTAATGCTTTTTTCCTCTAAACCTGTATCTTTTGCTTACACATTTGTTTATAATCACTGAGAATTCCACTCGTTATTATACTTAAGTTTTATTATGATTTTAACTAGTGGGGAGCAAAGTATTATGTTGAGTATATACACTTGAACTTTTAAGGCGCCTTGCTTTAGTTTATAGATTATGTGAACTATTATTATTGATATTTCTGAAGTAATTATTATTAATTCATATGCTCACTGGCGTTACCAACGGCTTATATTGTGAGATTCCGTTTTATTGAATAATTTAGCTAACAATGTATACAATCTCTATTTAATTATTAAATAATTTTAATTCTAATGTAATTTTATAACTTTTTTAGGTTCAATACGTTAGAATCCTGCTTGCATCATTTTTTAATTATAATATTTTATATTATATGAACTTATTTATTTTAGTTAACCGGCGCAAGTAGTGCTATCAATTATATGAAGATTTTTTTAATATAGTGCTGCTGTAGTTTAATAGCTTTTTTGGGGGCTTTATGTTAATTTTAATAGTAATAGTTACATAACTATTATTTTCCCGCAAACATTGCATAAAAAAGGTGCAACTAATATGCTTAATTATTTTGATAATAATTAATAGAGAAATAAAAAATAAATCCAGTCTACTGAATTATCATTTGCATTTACACTCCTTTTTCGCTGTCTCCACTCTAATCGCCCCAAGTATAAGTATAGGCTTTCAATAAATTGTAGCTTCTGCTTGTTTTATTCAGAATCTAACTTTTGTAAAAAGCATACTTAATATTTATTAAGTTTATTTTTTAATAGTTACTTAATATATAAACAAAAATATCATATTCATTTGTTTTACTGAAAATTCTTACAATTCCTTTTGTTAACGTATGAGGATATCCAACGGTTTTTAAGTGAATCAGTCGTTATTATCTGTCATTATGACGACTTGGAACGCGACTGGTAATATATATACCCCATTAACTATTATAATATAATTTAAGAGAAATGATTAGTTTTAAAGTACTTTGTTAGTAAATCGTAGTTAACAATGTTTTGATAGTTTACTAAGCGCAACTAAAGTTTGCGCTCTTTACGATTATTGCTCTTGTACACTCTTTGGCGCATTATTTATAGTTTACTTTTGTCTGCACTAGTCCACAACGTCTGACCAAATGATGTTAGAGTTTTATACATTTTATGACAGGCCCAATCTACTTTCTTTTTTGTCTGAAAAACTTTCTTCACCTGATTTTGGGATTGTTTCCGGAGTTCTCCTCACGGCCAGCTCCTTGTTTAAAAAGTTGACACTATTATTGTTTACGGTTTTAAGACTACCTACCTGCAAATTAATAAGAATATAAAAACTTCTGGAATTAGTAATGCCCTTATAGTAGTTAAAGTAAAATTTAATTCCATAACTCATTAGTAAATATATTAAATAATCATTTTTGACGACTCTATAGCTAATTTATGAAAATGTTAATGTAAATTATATTAAATTTCCTAAAACAGTGTTATGCACTTTTCTGCCTTGTTTTCAAGCTCTAAAGTAAATAATTTATTATATTATTTTAATAACTATTTATTAAAAAAGTAATTAATAGCTTTAATCTTTCTTTGCAACGTTAAAAATGTAGCAAATGGTTTTTTATCTGTCGCTATCATTGTATAAAAGATATTCCACTGAATTTCGATCTGATGAGCTCTGGCGACAAATTGCATATGCCTTAAAAATCTTTGCCGAGTCCTTCACGAAGTCCGCTAATGTATTTATTATACTACATGTGCTCTACACGCCATCATGCTGATTACTTTCAGAACATAGTCACGAAGCTGCTAACTTTGCAAGAGCCAAAGGAAATTCTTATGGTACTGGGCTTATGCGAAGAAATACTGAAAATCTTTTATTATTTAAACTTTCAGGGTGCAGTAAAGAAGCTTTTACTGAGTCGTTTTATCAGATATGTAAGACACTTTATTATTAGATCTCCCCGAATACTTTGAGGACAACATGCCGCTGTGGATGCACATGCACCAAACTCTGTTGGACTATCACAACAATTCTGTGGTTTCTCAAGACGTTCCTGGTTCTCCTTAGAGATTATTCTTATTCTAAACTTCGCACTTGTTATTATGGTTAATAGTAGTTTGGGTATAAATAATAATATTACTTGCACATAATTGGTTTTGAACCCTTTGGTCATCATTTTTATTTACTGTCTTTCTGAATATAATGCACAACTTTTATTAAAATTTTTTTGTATATCTGTTACTTTATATGTGCTAAATATCAGGGCCCCTTGAAGGTGTAAAAAGCCAAGCTTGTGAAAATATATCGTTGTACGCCTCAAAATATGATGACGCGGATTCCCCTTTTGGGAAGTACATACCGTTATTTGCGGAGGTGCGTATATAAATAATTAAATATAAGCGCATTGAATAATTTGATTAACTTATATAGAAAATTTGGGGCTTATTAACGAGCGTGGGGCCTGAAGCCAGTTGCGATAGCGTAAGTATATGAAAACTACTGTTACTATTATTATATTTGTTATACTATTACTTCTTTATTTTTTGTTTTTTAATAGAGTAATTTAGCGATTTTTTTGTTTCATCATTGCATCTTTATTATCCGAATATTATTACTATATCCACACGCTTCCTCCAGCTGGTTTGTAGCGCGCTCAGCCTTCTCTCTTTGATTGTCTCGCGCCCTCGCTATGCGCCCTCTTTCGATAACCCAGAAGTTTTAATGACTCTTTGCGAAAAAGTTGTCATCCCTAATATGAGGCTCAGAGGTTAGTACGTTTATTTTTTAAGGCTCTCTTTGAGGTGTATACTGCGTTGTTTCTGCTGGTTGTGGGAAATAATGCAGCGGATAACCGTTAGAATAGGCCACCCTGTAGAGTAGTTATTGTTTAGCGAATTCGAAGGAAAGTGAAGAACTTTTTAAGTGTTAGCCTGCCTAGCCTGTAGTCTCCGGCTTCCTGGGTTAAAAATTCTATCGGGTTTTTATATATTTTTGTATATCGATTCTTCAATTTTTGTATTCTGCTAGAGTTTATTACAACTTGTTTTCTTTGATATGGCTTAACTAAGATCAATATTACGTGCTGATAAAAAAGTATTTGTTAATTTTTATTAAAGCATCATATTATGGTTGAAAGTTAAGACAACATTGAGAAAGTCACAGGAGAGCGTGTTTGTTTATATTTTTGTAACCATCAGTCATATTTGGAAAATATTGTTAATATAATATTTTTTGTTTTGTTTATGATATTGCGATTTCTTTAAAATTATGTATAACTATACCAGAAAGCGATATTGTTGCGTTTGATATTGATTGTGAAGAATACATTAAGTGCGATATTGAAGGCTCCGGTACTTATTTTTATCTCAAGGCTTAATATCACTTTACTTGCTATTGCTTTCTATTTGTGATTTTTTATATATTTCTGTTTCTATTTTATTTTGGTATCGGCATTGTACTTCAACATTTTTATAGATATTGGCACCCGGCGAAGAGCTACCTGTGACTTGGTGCAAACTTTACGTGTACGCTTTCCTGAGCGTGTGACTGAACTGTTTTATAAATATGTCATGCATATGCTGGATGTAATATATTTACATATATATTATTAACCTTTTGCGTTTTGCTGTTTCGAGATATTTGTATTACTATTATTTTTCATAAAAAGAATTGTTGTATGACAGAATTATTATTATGTCAGATTTACAGGCAACATCCTAAGGATTGGCTTGCGAAAGACACTGCTATACACTTGGTGATTTCCCTCGCCGTCGTCGGTATTACCTTTCGTGTTTTTTTACTTTATTAGTTATATTTATTTATTGTATTTTCTCCTGCTCTTGTAGGCTTTGTGGAGCGTTTTGGAACCACCAAAACTAATATGTTTATTGATATTACATCTTTTTATACCACCCACATTCTGCCTGAACTTCAGAATGACAACCAGATGAACGCTTTGCTTCTAGCTGACTGCGTGAAGTTCATCATCACGTTTCGTAATCAGGTTTGCCGATGTGTCACATGCATGAGTTTCTACAGTGATTTTCAAAGTATATACGACAGGCTGCTTTAAAGTTAATATAAGTAAAGTTGTTTGTGGGGGGTTGGGCTCGAGCAGCTCGTTAACTCGATTATTCTTAATATAAAATAAATATATTTTTAAGTCGCCTTGTGAATAATACATTTCTGCTGCCTTCTCTTCCCTTGTTTCATTAATTCTATTTCTTCTAATAGATCCCCAAGCAGTTTTTGTTGGATATCCTTCCTTTGCTACAGCGACGCCTACTCTCCCCTTCCTACGTCTTGAATTCTTATTGCTCTATTTGCATCGAACGTATATTGTTCCCCCGACTCGTTTCTTCAACGGATGGAAGAGGATTCGAAAAGTTTATTATTATCACCATCTATATGTGTACTTCACACGTATATGACACTCGATTCTCATTATTGAATAGTTTTTGTTCGATTGCAATTCATTATGTCATGAAAGAATTTTATATATTAATCTTTATTATTATGCCTTTATTAACAATTAATGCTATACATTTTCCACCATATAAGTCTGTCCTTCCGCTTTTTTTTGTAGTGTTACGAAGGGTGATATCCGGACGTTAACTCCGGGGCTGCTGACCTCCCTTTTCTCGCTGTTAGACACTGACGAGTCTAAGGAAAACCAGTATGCCATGAAAGGTTTTTGCTGAAACTACTTTTGAGTATTTTTTTTTGGTTTTAAGAGTCCATTTAAGACAAGTCTTCCATTTTATTATTTAGAGTTTGTATGGGATTTTTGTGGGGAAACAGTTATTATAATTATAATTTTTTATTAAAAACACACTTACTTTGTACTACAATTTTAGCGGTAATGCGAGTGATCTCAGTCTCACAGAGCGAAGCAGCTTCCTTTGTTGAGTCCCTGCTTGATAAAATTTGCAACAAACTATACAGCGTGGCCAAGAACCCCGGCCGTCCTGACTTTAATCACTACTTATTTGAAACGCTTAGCGCGGCTATTAAGTATTTCTTCTCCCGCTAAACTTTACCCCCTTGAAAATTTTTTATGAAAGGTACTCGTGTGAGTCAAACCCCTTGGTGGTTGCAGCCTTTGAAGAAAAGTTATGGCCGACCTTTACATGGATTCTGGAGCAGGACGTGGAAGGTAGCGTATACATCGTTGAAAAGAAAAGAATTTATTCATGGTGCGCGCTGCAGAGTTTATTCCTTACATTCTCCAACTGATTGGGCAGCTTCTTGATTTGAATCAGTCAATCCCCCATCGTTATTTAGATATGTTCCCGATTTTTCTCCGTCCGGTTGTATGGGAACGAATAGGTATCGTGTATTGGTTGCATCATAATATAGTGAACGTAAATATGTCTGTCTAAATATTATTAACTAACGAGTATTTCTTTATAATTAGAAATAATTACTACTAAATTTTTGAAGTTTATTACTCTTCTTTTACTTTCTTACAAGTTATATATATTATTTGAAGAGCTTATTTTTATTTTTTGGGTGGTTGGTTTATTATTTTAGCTCGTTATAACTACATCAACGTTCACTATTATAACGTATTGTTTATATAACATTTTTATGAAGTAATTTTTAAACGGTTTTTAACAAAGTTTGTGGTGTTTGGTAGCTGTTCAGCTCTTTGTTTATTAGCTAAACCGCAAACATGTAGCGTGACGCGCCCTAAGATTGCGAACACATCGGCTTTGCGCTATTATGTGCACTGCTTATGAGTCCGTCTAAAGTAATGATTCTATTTAAAAAGGTAATGTTCCTGCCCTCACGCGAATTCTGCAATCCTTTTTATTAAAAAGTGGTCCCCTTATTTGCGGCGATGAAAACACTTTGTTATTGGTCCTCGGCTCGTTCCAAAAGCTCGTATTTTGCATTCATTTATACTTTTAAATTTTTTTAAATTTTTTTTTAAGATTTCCAGCAAAGCGAATGATCATTTAGGCTTTGAAATTTTAAACACATTATTACATTCGGTGCCGCGGTACACCGTTACGCTCTGTTTATTATTACTTATTAAAGTTCTTTATTAGCAATCTCTACGAACAGCAAGTTTGTCCCATATTTCATACAATTTTTAAAAGATTGAGCCTTGCGAAGACCACGAAGTTTTGCGATTGCGTCCTCGTATTTATTTCGATTTTAATCTCGAAACTTTCTCCGGATGAAGTCATTGTTATGGTTAATGGCATCCAAAGCGGGTAGCACATGTTTTCTTTGCTTTCTTTTTCGACTTTAGCTATGACTACTGCAATTTTTTAGTCTTTTGATATTATTATTTTTGCGGTATGCTGTTCTCTGCTCTCCATCATATACTTTTAAGCATGTTATATATAAAGGTTGTTTTCGATGGTGCTAGATTCCTTGTTTCTTAAAGAACTGAAGTTTATAAAAGGTTTTTGTACAAACACCACTTTTTATCTTTTCTAACAATAATCACAGCAAGAAGAGCGCGAAAGGCTTGCGCAGTTGGTATTACACATCTTCTTACTAAAAGTTTGGTGCTTATCTCGGATTATGCTAACAAATGGTCTTTCATTTTTATTATCAACTTGGTCGATAAATTTTATTACTCTTGACGCTGCTTTCATGTTTACTACATTATAGTAAAACACAATTTTATACGTTATTATGAGTGTTCATAACAACAAATGTATCAGCCAGGCTTTATTATATTTAACTTATGGCTGTTCGGTTACCTGTTATTGTAGGGACCCTTTGTTTTCTGAACTTCTTTCCTTGCTTGAATGCCAAGCCGAAGACATCCAAGAAGATCTTGCGGACGCCAGTGTGGGCCATTACCAAGTCAGTTTTGTGAAGTTAATGGTTAGTAAATTGTGTGTTTTATTATATATTATACGTGATTTTTCTTTACTAGCTCTACTCTTAACGTAACATTCTTTTTATATTTGTTTTTGATTCAGAGTTTATTTTTTTTCTTTATCGTTTTTTTTCTTTAAAACTTAATACATTTGAAATTTTTTTGTTTTCATTTACAATGCATTTCGGAGCGTTACTTAAATTTATTTGAATTGACAATTTTTGTTATTATGGTTTATGTCATTATAGACTTTAACATTATTCTATTCAGTTAGTTTTGTGTAACACTTTTAAAACTTCAAGTATTATTTAACCTGCTTTATATAGTATTCAGGGGGCCATGAAAATCTGGATTATTTTTCCGAGATCGATAACGTGAAGAAGTATGCCGCAGAGAATTTAAAACAGTTTTTGAATATTAACCCTCAGGTTACTTGCTAGTTTTATACTCGTCAATACTGTGGCACTCATCCTTTCTTCGTGCTTATTGTTAACTTAGATAAAATTTTCACGTTCCATTAGTTCACTGCTTATTTAAATATTTTTATTTGTATTAGTTTTTGGGAAACATCAGTGAAGTCAATAAAGCGCACTTACGGGAATACTTTCAAGTTGCTGGACTATAATTATATTTATTTAACAAATGTAAACTTTGTAAATGAAAATAACTTATAATTTTATTTTATATACCGCAAATAAAAAGCAGCAATCTATAAAATGTAGATAATTTTTAAGTAATTATCGATTCTACCTTCCATCTTTATATAAAATTAGTAAATATTGACTCGTTATACACATTACATTTGTATCGAGAGCGGGGCAGCTATCTCATCGTCTCCTGCATAGAAATTTTTTTTATGCCTCACCCAAATTTTTTTAAACTTTATACTGCTAGGCACTATACCACATGTATGGTTCTTGTAAATAAATATAATGAAATATATAATTTAAAGTTTTTAAAATTGTTTGGTTCTGAATTCTCATTAAAGGCTTACTAAAATGATCGAATTATTACAAGATACAGAGCCAAATTGATTAGTAGGTGTAGGTTTATAAATAATATATGGTTTAGCGTTACTTTTTTTTAATATTGTTTCTAGTATGAGGAATCGAGGACTGCATGTGCTTATATTTTTGAAGCCCTTGCATGCGTCTCTGCGATTTTTTTACTCTTGTTCTTATTTTCTGTGGTTGGTTTGGTGCTCCTAAAGAGCCCAAAATTATCTGATAAAAATTTCCACTTTTAGCTTTTCGGCTTCACAATTATATTACGTTAAAGTCTATAGTATATTTTATTATTTTATTACATAACATATTGTTTTATATTTATTCTCGAGGGCTTCCGCCCTTTAAATTCACTAACTGCGTGCGAAGGCTTTTGAGCTAAAGGCGTATAAATTGAGCTACTTTGGAGCATTCTTTTCCTCGTTCAAGGAACTGCGACCTAGTCTAGGCTTCGACTATCGACTATTGATTCTCGCGTGTAACGGTATTAGTACTGTATAGTACAGGATACTGTTGGTGGATCATGACCAGGTTCGGGCTTCGGTTCGGGCTTGGTTTGACTGCTAGGACAGCAGTGCTGGTTCCTCTACGGGTGATACCCGTATAGGTGCTAGTGCTATAGTTGGCTTTTGGCCAGCTTTGGGCTGGGCGTACTGTTGGTGCGCTTCGGTTCGGGCTGGCTCGGGGTCATTTTCCGTAGTGCTAGCTCCTATACTGGCTCGCCCGCAGTGGAGTATCAGTACTGTCGTTAAAGAGTGCTTCTTAATAGTATATATATGCTATATCTAGCGGCGAGCAACAATATACAAAAGCTGGATAATTTTTTGTTTTTGGTCGCTGATTTGCTGAACTTCCGCTCAAGTGTTTGATCTTTCTCTCTTTTTATTTCATAAATCCATAGCATACCCACAAATTAAAATATATCTGGGCTCCTCCCTTCTGGCAAAGAGCTCATAATCGGAGAGGCCTGGGTGGCAGTGGTGCTGGTTAAGTGTCTCCAGGTAGCCGCGGGTCTTTTGCATGAGGCCGCCTCTCCGGGTAGTAATTTTTAGCGGTTTTCCACTACCCTAGTCCGAATGGCGGGATCCCGGACCCTAGAATTTCCGGTTTTTAGTCCTTCGGGGCAGTCATTATAGCTCTCTAAAGAGCGTATACTGGTGGGCACTTGTACTCCGACCTCTGCACTATAGAGGGGAATTCTCATTAAGCGGTTTAAGTTCTCGAGAAAGATCGGCTGTAGTAAGCCAGTGCTAAAAAATAAAATAAAAAAAAGATGGGTTAATGTGCATATTATTAAAGAAAGCACACGAGTTTTTGCTTCCCCTATAATGGTCGGGGGCGTGCTATTTGTTCAGCACCGCTATAGCTTCAATTTTTCGCTATTTTAAAAGAAATTTGTAAAATTATTAAGAAAAGGAATGCCCTAAGTGCCGGGCAGTTAACATGAACTCAACCAAAAACAGAGGATCAAAGTTAGTTGAGTCGAGGCTTTTTAACAATTGCACTTTTGAGAACATAAAAAAATCTAGTTAAGCAGGCTTATTTGTTCCCGAAAAAATGTGAGGGTATCTGAGCTGTGGCGTTTAGTGTAATAAAACAAGTAAATAAATTAAATGCAAAGTACTTTTTCGTACATTCATCAAATAGTTGTTTTATGTGTATTAACATATAAATGGCTTATAAATTTGAAAAATACTAAAAGTTTTTACTCATTCAATAACAGTTAATAATAACCGATTTCAGTTCGACTTCCAGGCCGAAGTGCAATAAATTAGAACTACAGTGGCCGAGTTTCCCCAAAAATTATTAACATTTTCTGTTTACAACTTTGGCCACGGTTAGTACTATTATATTTCAGTACGGCAACGGTGTCTAACTGATAATTTAAAGCGATTTTAAACAGATTTGGACTAGGTCTATAAAAAGATTGTATTTTAATTTGTCTTTTCAACCATCGGTGCATAAAGTAAATGCTGCCTAAAATTTTATATTAAATATTACTTTAGCTTCTTTATCTCTTTAATGTAATCTGCTATTTCTTTTAACTCTTGGTATACAAAATGGTATACATAAGTAGTTTTTACAAAAGTGTAGGTAAATTTTATATTTTACCTATTTTTATGCCTTGATACCAGCTCTGTGATACACTGCATAAATATTGTCATGCTGATCCCCCCTCTTTAGGTACACAGCAGTGAAGTTTAACCTTAAAAACAGTTTCTCACCTAGTAGTAGTTGTACTGTTGAAATAGAGCAAGTGATGTTGTATCTATCCTTACAGAACATTTAGAAAGTCAGAAACTGTCAATTTTTAGAAGACAGTTTGCGTAGGAATAAAGTTTATTAATAACATATAATAAAGGAATATAACAATGATAAGTCTTCCTTCAGCCAATTAGTCATACTGAAATTTGCGTTTGAAATAAAAACTACCATTTTTTGTTTCTGACAAGTGCTTGTAAAACGTATTATCACTTCAAAAATTTTTTGTCTTAGGCTTCTCTGCAGCCAAAGACTTAGAAATATGCCTCCCTTTGCTCTTCAAGGTAAACAGGTGTACTAACCCTATTTTATTCTATTAACCAATGTCTTTTTAGTGCATTTCGTGTCATAGAGACCATCCTTAAGAATTTAACGACCCATATAAATAAATTTTATATAATTTGTAACTAAAGAGCTGATTTTGTTTATAATTAAAAAAATCTACTGAAACTAGTTGACAATATTTAGAGAAAAAAGAAGCACTTTTCGATGCCTATTAAAAGACTTTCATAGTTTGATAACAAGCAGGTGTTGTGTAATAAAAGAATGAGCTACAGCAATAAATTATGTCACGGCATGAAATTCCACAGTTTTAAAGTTTTTTCTTTGTATTGTTACCCTTTGGAGCTTTTGCTTTATAAAAAAATGTTTACTTTGAAAGCATTATGGCAGGTATTACTTCATACTACCATTTGTGTTGTCTATGTTTTATCTTGCGCTCAATAGTTTATTGCAATTTTAATTATTATTAGTTTATATAAAAACTACGAAACCTAGACGTTGAAGCTAATATTTACTTTTTTTGAAACTTTTGCCCGTTCTATTCTGGTTTTCAAAAATTTTTAAAAATGTAATATGTAATGTCGTCATAATTTCCGTTTATAATAATCGGTGCTACAAAAAATTATAATTTTTTTTTTTTACATGATTTATAATAGGTTAATTAACTTCTCTATTAGTTATGTAATATTTGGTCGATCAACTTTTTACGGTCAACAGATATTACATGTGATAACTATTGTTACGCTTAGTAATAGTCCTAAACTCATTAAGTATTAAAGCTTAATTAACAAAATTGTATAATTAACAATTTAAGTATTGATGAAGATAGTAGCCGATAATCATAAGCGTTTATAGGATTAAAACAACTTTTTAGCACTTTAAAGGCTCAAACTAGTTTTATTATAATCTATATCAATATTTAAACCTTGTTTCATTAAATAAATTAATCTTAAGGCGACCATTCTTAAGCTTTCATTAAATATTTTGTTGATTCTGTATTACTCTTTAATAATAAATTATGACTTCAGATGTTGTAATATTTAATGAGAGTTAAAACATTTTTTTTTTAGTTTTGATATAACTTCTAATAAAAATGATGTTTATTATTTTGAGTGTCAGTTAAATAATGAGTATAAATAGAGAATAACTGTACCCTATGTCTTAGGCTTTACAAGTCGGTAAGGTTTTTAAAAATTCTAAAAGTATATAGGTCAAGGGAATCAAATATAGCTAGAATTTTCTTTAAATTAGTATTTTTACCTACTGCTAGCGAATTTATTTTGAAAATATTGCATAACCTTTCTATTTAATCTGTACAGGGTGTTTCTTTAATATTAACATTTGTCCTATTAAATTTTTTTTTCACCACGTTTTTTTTATTATAAAACCTGCTAATTTATGAAATGAGCTCCACTATTACGTCCTAACTGTTGTAACCCTCTAAAATATTTTTGCGTAAAAACTTTTTTTCAGTTATCGACATATTATATTAAATTATACTATAACTCTCTTATACTATACACGCAGCAAACCAGAACTAGAGGAAACTTCTAATATTTCGTTAAAATGAGTTGGTACGGACATGGAGGTAAGAAATTTCTATAATTTGGTTGGTTTGGTAATTTTTATTGATTACTGAAGGCTGTTATGATGACTGTTGCCGATGTGGCCCTATTTGTTATCCAATTGAATGTATGCACAAGTATCGCTATGCTTATCCAGGTAATCTATGATGGTAATTAATTTGCAAAGTGACATATTTATAATTCCAAAAAGGTTGCGGCTACCATTACGACGGTGGTTGTGGACACCACGGAGGCCATCATGGTGGTGGTTGGCATGGGCGCCACTCGGTAAACTTTAAAACGTGCTTAAGCTAAATATATAAATATTAACCTTGTTATGCCTCCTTGCTTAAAGTGGGGTGGATGCGGCGGTTGTGGAATAGGTGATGGTTGCCATGGATGTTGTTAGTCACCCGCTTTTATTGCTCCTAAATGGCAATAAAATAAAAATGCTAACAAAATCTTTTGTCTTTTTTTTTTTTTTTTTGAAATATTACTGTGTACGAAAAGCTCTCGATATATAGTTAATATTGAAACTACACGATTAAACCCATGAGAAGAAGGGTACTTTAGCGTAAGTTTAAAGGTTGTAGGTCTTTAAAATATTATTAAATTTAGGGTGAAATTCTGATCACCATTAATTTCTTTAAATTTACATTAGAAAAAATTTCATGTAACTAAATTTAATATAATATTTTTCTCTTTTATCTCAAGTCCCTCGCTCAAACATTTAGAAGTCTAAAGTATATCTTTTCACACGAAATATGCTTCGTAATAAATAACTATAGGCTTAAAATTAGTTAACTAACATTTAATTAATAGCTAACCTTTTTTTAATACGCAAGGCAATTTTTTAAAGGGTTGACATACTATTTAGTAACCTTTATTTTTAGTTCAAGAAAAGTTCTTTTATAAGCAGCACTTAGCCTAAGCGCAAGATTCTTCCCATTAAATCTGAAGGTTTTTTAGCCTAATTTGCTTAATAGTTAGAAAGCAACAGTAGCCAATCACTCGAGCAACAAGTCTCGTCACCGAACTCAGAGCCGCCAGTCTTACATATATTGACGACCATAGTTTGCGCCCTAAGACGTAGTAAAGATAGCACCTATCAGTGAACTCGAGGTAATCTGCAGATTTTACCAATTTTAATAGCATATCTTTCGATTCGCAGGTCCCTCGCCTGTAGCTATCTCTAGTAAATGCCCACCCTGTACCGGGGCTTGAGGGGGAAGGTACCATAATCACGCTTTATCGGCTTGTATCATTATAAGGAAGTCTAAGTCTGATATGACCCGTAAATTAGAGATTGATCCTTACAGTTTAAAGTTTAATGCCCGCCATACCCAAGAAATTATTATTTTGCTGTAAGTCGGGGTTTAGATGAAAGTGTAGTTAGTAAGTGCATATAACTTAATGAGGGCTAAGCTGTAAATTATGTGTATAAGCTAGCCAATGGCGCGGCTGAGGAAATATTTTTCTTCTATCATGCGGTTGCGGGGCGGCCCGCTTCTTGCACGGAGTAGCGTCGCTGGGCTAGTGAAATTAATGAATTGATATTAGTTTTTTTACTGAATAATATTTATTATACTTCGGGAAACTAGAGTAGATAGTATCATTGCACAAAAACAACAAAAGAAGCAAAAAATAGTACTGCGTTCACTCATCCCCCATTAAAGTAACGTATCGACTACCCACGGGTCATACTGGCCCATTATAAGCGTAAGCTATAGATTAACATTATTATCTTTATTGCAGCCTAATATTATGTAGTATAATGCTTATAAAATACATTTTAAGCATATGTAATTTTCACAATGCCAGCAATTTTGTCAAGAACACTCTGATCCAGGATTCTGTTAAGGATTTAGAAATAGCCTATGGAGACCACTCCACCTTTGCAAATCTCTTCCACTCTCAAATTTTCTACGGAGGGGGGAGGGAAACGTTTTCACGTGATTAATTCAAATATTGTAATTCTTAGTCTTTCCTGCTACTCTACTACAATTTGCGTTTGGCGCTCTTCTTTTTAGCTTTTTCGTCTATTATGGATATTAAAGAGACGTTATCAGAAGTTTATGGATTTTCTGAAAAACAAATTCAGGAAACTGTTAAAAATAAAAAACTTACTGAAAAAATCAAAGAAGTTACTAAAAAGGTCTTTTTTTTTTTTTTTTTTTTTGGTGTAGTAATTTACTCTTATAGGCCTTAAACTATGGTAGTATCGACAAAAATAGTTTAAAATCTAAACTTTTATATAAATTGTCGACAAAATATCTAAATCTTGTTCAAGCTGGCAAGCACGAAATTATTGTTGAGTATATTATGACAGGAAAAATCAATACTGATCCTCAATTAAACGGTTTAATATTATTTTGGTCTTTTTTTAATCTTTTTTTATTATAAAGAGCTTAAAATTTATATATTATCCGTTGTAGTTGTTGTAGTCACCTCTATTGTTTTTTTTGCTTTGCTTTAAATTTTAAATAATTAGATTCCTCCTCACTTACATCTTCTGTTCTTTTTCATTAAATATATTTTTTATTATAAGCGGCCTTGGACTATTTTAAAACTGAGGATCAAAGCTCTGGATTTAACTTTGAAAGTTTTGATTATAAGGTGGGAGTAGGAGTTAACGTAACTAAAGAAGAGGTATATTTTTTTTTGACGGCTTTAAAGTTTATATCTTCTCCAGCTAAAGTATGATGAAATACCTGTGCCTCACAGTTTTATATATATATACTTTTTGTACCCTTACACGGATATTTATTGATTTGAAAATATATGCTCTTCTTTTAGCTTAGTGAATTGGAAAACTTTTTTTGCCTTTACTTGTTAGTTGGTCGTTTATAAATGTCTATTTACATATTTTTTAACAGTTTTATTTAAAGGATTTAGTCTCTGTAAAATAAGTAAATAATTATTATTTAGTATTTATATTAATGCACTCTAACCATTTCATAAAAGTTAGTCGTACAACTTTATACTTTTCTCGATTTTTTGAAATATTCACAAAATAACTTTTTTAAGTATTGTTTAAAGTGACTTAAATATACAGGGAAGAAACTGAATAGAGATTTGAAGTATACCTTTTTTTTTACTGTTTTATGTATTACATTCTTCCTTTTTATTTATTAAAAACTTAATTTAATTTTTAGATTTTGGAAAGCGTACAGAAGCATTTTAAGAATGAGTTAGAAACTATTATAGAACAGCGCTACTTTTTTAACTTTGCTAAAGTTATATCAAAAGTTGCTAATGGTAAAGTATATTATGTTTGCTATGTATGTATGCATTCTTGTTTACCTAATTGTACTATCTTCCTCTATGATTGTTATTGATTATAAGTTGATCTGCTTCTTTCGTCTTTTGGATTTTGTGTTAAACCATACTTACGCTTTTACGTCTTTTTTTGTCCATCAAACTTCTTGTAAGATCTTAAATGGGCCGACCGAAAAGCCATAGTGGAGTGTGTCGACTTGGAAAAACTGAAGCTTTTGGGCCCCAAAACGGAATCTAACAGTCTTTTACAAGCTGAAGGTTAACTTTAGAGGAAAATGATTATAAAATTTTTGGTTTATAGTGTTATTTATTGGGGGCTTTATTTAGTTTTGTTCAGGCTGTGCGAATATTACGTTTAACTTATATCGCAATGATCAGGCAGAAACAAAGAGTCAAAACGTAAGACCACTGTATCGTCCACCCCGAACAGTTCTGAGCCTGGAAGTTTTATATGGTCAGTTTTATCCAAACTCCATAAAGTTGGAGAGAACTACAATGCGGACGGCTACGTCATCACTCCGAACACCACGCGACTTCTTAGAGAGCATGTTAAGTATCATCTTGATTAATTCTTTTTAGTGCGACGTATCCTTATCACTCACTGAACAGTAAAGCTTAAGTTTACCATAATTCTAGTATATTTTGTTATTAAACAAAATTTTGTTATCTTTCTTGTGGCTTTTATATACTATTAATTTATATCTTAAGTGTATTATTCCGAAGTGTAGGCTCTAGAAACTTCAGAGGGTCTGAGCGAGTTTATATACTTAAAAGTTCCGTTGCACAATAAATTTTTATTGAACTCTCTTTGTTTAAACGTTTTAATTATTTTGAAAAAAAGTTGTGGAAAGTGTTTATAGTTACAAGTAGTGTTAGAAAATTTTAAAAATCTCCGTAAAATAAGAATTTTAAAATTTCTGATAATTTTTAAATCTGAACCCATCCTACATTGCTACGTTCTTTTTGGTTTACAATTTTTAGTGTGACTTATATTAATTTTGATATAACAGTGCTTCTTTGTTTCTACTCTTTTAGGTGAAAGCTTGTGAAGGGAAGTATCGGACTCGCTTCCCCCCAGAACCTAACGGAATTTTACACATCGGGCACGCAAAAGCGATGAATTTAAATTTTGGAATCGCTAAGCTTAAAGGAGGTATAGAGATTACGAACTTTCTTTTTAGCTAGTAGTACTCATACTTTTGCTTACTTTTGAGCATTTCGTATATCACTGAGAACGGCATTGCACTCAAGAGATTGCTTATTTAGGAAATATTAAAAAAATGTTTACTACTAGAAAATTACATATTTGCTATATTTAATTATATAATTTATTTATGCAGTTTTAATGGTGTAAATATTTTAATGGCACTACTCTAGAACAAAATAAGGTACAAGTGCCACGCGCCGGACTTGTTTGGTCATAAAAAAACTTCTATTATAATTTTCTGAAGTTATTAAAAAGTTGTCGAAAGCTTTTTGCTGTTTAATATAAAGGGTAATACCCAAAGGACGCCCTTTTATTTGTTGTACAGTTGGATTTGCTCATTTAGAAAGAATATTTTGGTGAGTTGACAGGACGAAAGTTTTAGAAAACTCGTACAACATAGATAATATAGTAATATGACTTAGGTAGCAAATAGCATCTTATGGATTGTAAAGTAATATAGTAGGTTGGTCAACAAAGGCACTGTACATTCAGTAAAGTATTATAAACTTTTTAAGCGCGCTAAATTTTACTGTACAGCAACAGAAAAATAAAGAAAAAATAGCTTGTGCGTGAATTTTACTTATTTAAGCGCGTGCAAAGTACCCTTTATACTTTACCTTTTCTATTAAACACTCAGAAAAAAATGTCTTTGTTGCTTTCGGTTGCTACTATTTTCCGGCTTTCTTTCTTCTCTTCTCCTCTTTCTTGATAAGCGCACTCATATGCTTGTCTTGCATGTGACTCGCCTTATATTTGAAAGTATTTACATATTCTATTGTAATTTCTGGTGTTTAGACTAAGTGATACGTTGCATGGTTTCTGTATGCTTTATTGTATGTTAATATGTAAATTTTGTACCGATATATTTTATTTTTCATTAATAATATGGATTTTTGATATTGTTTTGGATATTAAGGTCATTGTATTTTGCGCTACGATGACACCAACCCGGAAGCTGAAGACGTCCGCTTTTTTACTGAAATCTTGTAAAAGAAATCTATACTGATAGCGTTTCTATATTTTTTAGACACTAGTTCTATGTTTAGTACTTTTGATATCGACGTTTTACCTTAGTAATTCCTGTAAAGCAATTAAATACTCTAGTAATAAGCTACAGTAAAAATATTTTGTTGGCGGGACAGTTTCAAAAAGCCAAATTATTTATTTTATATACTTTTCAACCCCAAGGCCGTGAGGGGCTCGGGCGAACCAAAAGCACTAGCGATTGGTGTTGTTTTTAGCAGGGACACACCATGCCACATTGCAGGGGGGCTGGTGAAACCGAGGAGTTGTGCGAGTTTACACGTGAATTTCTGAGCTGTGCTTTTTTAACAAATTACTTACAAGATATTGTTTGCGCACCCTAGACCTATTACAAACGTACTTGAAAAACTATTTTTCAGAGCTTCATAGCCTGCAACCAGTTTAATAATGAATTAGCACGATGTGCATTTTTGGATGTTTAATTAATCAATAGTAAAACAGTTATATATAATTTATGTATTATCGTAATGTTTTAATATATGTATTTAGCGCTCGTTTATAGTCAATGTCATTAAAAAATAACTCTTATTTATATAGAAACATGGTAGAATGGTTAGGACATGAGCCTTGGAAAGTCTCGCACACTTCTGACTATTTTCATGAGTTATATGACTTCGCTAAAGAGGTTATTTTTATTCTGAGCTATAAATTTTGCATCGTTACAAACTTTTGATGTTTAATGTTTGACTAGATGAGCGTATTAGAATATTTATTGTCGTTGCTTTAATGACCAGCCAATTAAAAGAAAGCAATGATCTAAGGCTTATCGAGTTACAGCTTAAATACTTTTATAGTAGCGCTGTGTAACCAAAATCCAACGATCTCCTTATATATAAGACTAAAAATATTTCTTTTTTATTTATACTTTGCTTCGTAGCTAACTCGTCGTGGCCTGGCTTACGTCGATCATCAAACTGCTGAGGAAATATTTGAAGAAAGAGGAGGTTCTTTATGTCTTCATACATAGATAATAATATCTTTTTCATCACATTAAAAAAAAAAAATCATACTTTTATTTATTTAATTAATATCTACTCGAATATGCTCTTCAGGAGAAAATAAAGGGCCGCGAAGGGAAAGCCCATACAGAAATAGACCCATTGATGAGAACTTGCGTCTTCTGGAAGAAATGCGGAAGGGTTTGGTATCAAGCGTTCATAAAAGTATGAGTAAGTCTACTGATCTTTGGACCCCCTTTAAAAGTGGGATGAAGGCTCCGCATGTTTGAGGATGAAACAGGATATGAGGGATGGCAACCCTCAAATGTGGGACCTTGTGGCCTACCGGGTAAAGTTTGTCCCTCACCCTCGCACAGGTTGGTTGCATAATACTGCATTCTGGCTGTATCCCTTCCCTCCCGCCCCGGTTGACCACCAGGCAGTGAGTGGTGCATTTATCCCTCTTACGACTTTGCGCATTGTCTGGTGGACTCTTTGGAAAATATCACCCATTCTTTGTGCACGGCGGAGTTCCAACAGAGCCGCATTTCTTATTACTGGTTTACCCAATCGCATCATTATGTAATTACGATTCACGTCTTCTTAGGCTTTGTAACGCATTGGATGTTTACTGTCCCGTTCAGTGGGAGTTTAGCCGATTGGAAATAGCTAATGCTGTCCTTTCGAAAAGAAAAATTCTGAAACTAATTGGTATATTCCCTTACCCTTTTCTTGTATTACTTACGTTTGAGATGAATTGAATACACACCCAGAGAAAGCCATTGTCACGGGCTGGAGCGACCCGCGTCTGCATACGCTTCCCGCTTTGAAGAGACGCGGCTACCCGCCTGAGGCCATCAATGATTTTTGTGAAAGAGTCGGGGTCACTACGGCCACCAGCACAGTAGACAACTCTCTACTTGAGGCATGTGTGAGGTGTATACCAACTACTGACTTACTTATCAGTTTTATATACCTTTTGTTTTAAGAAATTACCTTAACGAACACGCTCCTCGCACGATGGCCGTCTTAAATCCCTTGAAAGTCACTCTTATTAATTATTCTCAAGGTTTTTCTATATTATGTATGTTAATTTTATTTTCTTCAAACGAGTTTTATATTTTTCATTACTTGCTATTAAAATCAATAATACACATGTGTTTAAAATGTAAATATTAGGCGTTATTGAAGTAGAGGCTCCCGACTTCCCGACTCGAGCAAATACAACTAAACATAAGGTTTTTAGCATGTTGCTAGCCTGTTACGGCCTAACAGTGTAAATTTTTTATTGGACTGGAAAATTCATCTGTAGTTGGCACCTAAAGCTCTTATAACTGTTTAAAACGGGGCATCCCCTTTACTGGCATGAAAGATATGGTCACGTATCGCCCGCACCTTGAGAGCCTCTCGCGGCCTTTACAACGTGCTTAAGCCATATTCGAACAGTCGCCTCCTCAGTGTGCGCGTGGGCGCTGTACTGTCAGCGCTGCTATTGCCGACGACAGGGTGGCCCGTGAAAGATCTCTTCTCTCACCTTGAAGGCTCGCAATCTGGGCGCGCGACTTGCCGTGTTTTACCCTCTCACTCGGTTTAAATCAACCCTTAGTGCCCATAAAATATATAAAACGGAATATTACACTGAGGATGGGACAGCGTTTTCACAGCTAGTTATTGAATATAGGTTTAATTGAGTATTTCTTATAACAAGTTTAAGCTCAGAGTGAGAAAGCTAAAAAGATTTTTATTTTGCTATACCATTACATTATGATGAAGAGATTGAAAAGTATTTTCTCGTTTATCTGCTTCATAGTTTTATTATTGAAACTATACTATAGTTACGGTTTGATGGAGTCTTCTATATCGAACGCGATGATTTTCGTGAAAAGCTAGAGAAAGACTACAAGCGGCTAACTTTGGAGCAACCAGTTGGTCTTTCTCATATTGGGTTATTTTTGCATTCTATTTTTATAATAATGTTAATATAATTTGTTGTATATTTAAATTACTGCCTTTCTTTTTATCACACATCCAAAAGTTACCATTTTTAATTCTATTAAATAAAACTTATTGCTAATATGTAAGTTTTAAATTTATTCGAAAATACACTCATTTATTTCCAGATATGTCATTACCGTCGCTGATATTATTCGAGACCCGGAAGGCAATATTCTGGAGTTGAAAGTTACCTACTCCCCGCGAGAAAGCACCGTCCGCAAAGTGAAAGCCTTTATCCATTGGGTCTCTGACCCTGCTGAGGCCGAAGTGCGATGGTGAGTCTTGCTCGGCGGTCATTTCGGTTTTCGTAAGTAAATGAAGTTTTTAGGATGCTTTGTTCTTCTTGTATCCTTTATTAAGTTAGTCTTTGCCCGCTTTCTTGTATCTCTATTTATTATTTTTAATTATAGGTATTATCCTTTACTAAAGGAAAGAAAAGGCGAGAAAACAACCGATTTCTTAGATCTTGTTAATCCAAATTCCTTAAAGATCTATCCGGAAGCCTTAATCGATAAAGGAATTATGAACGCTTCAGTTGGCGAACGTTTTCAATTTGGTTATCTTTAATTTTTTTTTTGATCTGTTTGGTAAGATTTTCTAAAGCATTTTTAGGTTAACTTTTTGTTTTATTTTTTTATATATTTTTTTATCATTCTATTTTGAGTTATAAACATCATTTTTTCTAAAAAACAGAACGAATCGGCTATTTTAGTGTTGATGCTGACAGTAGTTCTTCGCGTCTCGTTTTTAACTTGACTGTTACTTTGCGCGAAGACAAAGGCAAAAAATATAACAAGAATCTTTAATTTGCGCTGAAATTTTTGTTATTTGTAGTATACCTGATTTTTTCAATTAAACCTGTTTCCTCCCAATTTTAATATAATTACATTGTAACAACGTCTTATCATGTTCAAAGTTAAGTAGTTTAAACTAATTTTTCAGAAACTTTTATTAATCAAATTTAGGTTTTATAATTACGTTAAAATAGATACACAGGTTAAAAGGATTTTTAACTTTTTATTTTTCAGGTTCAAGTTAAAAGAAGAAAAAGTCCTTAATTTATTAACTTAAGAGTTAAAATCAATCTTATTACATTAAAAAGTTGATGAACTGAAATAATCTTCCTAAAATTCAGTTAAGTTAGAATCATTTTTGCGCCTTATAGTGACACTGTTGAATTCTCTGAACCCGAATTTGACTGGAGGTTTAATAGACTTTTCGGATTGCTCAGCTTCTTTGATCTTTTGAGAATAATCTTCCAACTAAAAATATTTTGTCAAGTCCAGTATAGTTCATTTCCTACTATAAATTTACTTCTTACCTTGTTGTACCCTTCTTTTAGTATATCTTCAAAACTTTTGTTTTTACTATTAAGATTGAATTATAACGTTATTAAGAAGTAAGTACGAACAAATCTAAGTAAAACTTGTTACTTTTCTGGACTTGGTTTTCGGAAGCAGCTCTTTATTTTTTTTAATAGAAGAGTTTTACATAGTTGATCATTTTTCTCAAACTGGGCTATTTTCTTTGCGTAAATAAAGTGAAATATTTTGTTATATATAAGAAAAGTTTTTAAAACAACGAATAGCTAATATTTAACCTCCCTGTATTCTTTTTGAGTTAAGTTAAGGGTCAAGCATCGCAAAGAAACCTCTAACTGAGAAACCAAGTTTATTTATCTTAAACAATTTTCACAAGTACAGAGGGAAATAAAATGTATAAATCTATCGATTTATATTAGTATTAAATAAAAAGTTGAACTTATTTTGATTTTTTATCACGAAAATATTTAGAGGAAATTTTAAAAGGACCTTTAAATTATCCCTAACATTTGGGACTTTCAGGTAAGAAGGGACAAGTCTGCAGTACTTTTTAAATAAAATTAGCGACTCTTTGACTTGTTCATCCGTCAAAGCTGCCTTTCCTTTCATTGCGTATATCAATTTATCTATTAATCGATAAGTCTGGGAAGACCCCGAAACCTGCCGCATAACTGAATTCATAACACGCCTTAGCCAAAAATAACCCTCCGTAATTATCGTGATGGTGTATCGAGTCAGTATTGATATCTGAGAAAATACTTTTTTACGAACAACCTCCTTGCACTTTACCAACTATCACGTAATTTTCTCTGATAGAAGTTTTTTAATCACAAAGTCCTAGCTTGAAAGCACAATAAAAAAAAGTAAAGTACATGTGTAGCCTTTAAAGGCAAGTAAAACCCCGTTAAGTGTAGAGGAAGGCTTAAAGTTTTAAGCTGCTTGATGTTTTCTTGCACTTTTTTTTGGGCCCCTTGTACAAAGCGAATATCTATTTTTCGGGTCTTCATGCGTTATGCAATAGTATTTAAAGCGTTAATTACAAATATTTTCTATGCTTTTTTGTTTGTTTAGATGCTCCAGTCGAAAATGTACGCTATAAGAGAATCAATAACTCTTGAGAAGCCCAAACTTTCCTTATTGATGACCATACCTCTAGCGTTAGTAACTAGATTAGATAAAGTCTACCTCCCAGCTGAACTACCCTCATAGCGGGGCTTTCTGCTCGAATAAATCATATACATTTAAAATTTCCGGTTAATCGTCCGGGTGGTATATCTGATATTTTTCTCGGATAACCAAAATTGACTTGCCACTTAACTATCGTATACAGTTTCCTGTAAAATAGTTTAGGCCTTGAACCTTTATTATGGCTTTTAGAAAGCGAGATTATCTAAAACTTTGTGTAATGGTTCTTGCTCTATATAGTCAGCGGTTAGGCTGCCAGAGATCATATAAAGCACAAAATGTGACAAACATTGTAAGGTTCGACACATTAAAAATTGAATTGGCTCCGTAAAAATTCTAAACATACATATATTAAATTTAATCTAATAACTCGCGACCGCTAAAATGTAGTAACAAACCGTATAACACGCCTTCCGTCGAGCATGCCAAACTGGTTAAGTTACGTTACTAAAGGGTGTAATGGGGGTCTCTATAGAGTCTAGAATTTCCATCATTGCCAACAAGGGCAACGCCATCCAATGGCTTGTGTATACATAAAACTATGTAACTAACACCACAGTTTTCTTATAAGCAAATGCAAAGAAGGTAGTGGTATCGTGTTATACAGTCAGTTTTACGCGTTAGCTGTAGTTAAGTGCGAAGGGTAATTAAAAAATATTTTAGATCGCACATTTTAGGCGCATAGTGTTTAAAATTAGAATACAGATAGTTTTTATCCTATAACGCATTCTTTTTAGGCTTATTTCTTTTGGACATCGAGTTATCATTCTTTACTTTAAATTCCAAGCGGATATGATAAATTGGTATATATAAGATTAACGTTATAAATATTACTATAGTACGATCAAAACAGCTAAACAGTAGCGAATCTGCCGAACCTGCATTTCCTATAACAAAATAATCGTATCCAGCCGGAAGAGTCACTTTTTAGAGTTGTAGTTAACTCGACGCTTTCTTGTTTTCATAAAAGTGCATGTAATGAGCGACAATAAACAGAACATAACGGATTGCTAATAACTTATATATCAGGAAAGCTGGACATTTAGGACTCGAACGGTAACATGGTGCCATATTGGACCCTACAAAGAACATGGTGAATTCCAAGTAATTCAATATTTTAAGTAGTAGTAAATGCCTAGCAAACCTTTTAAACCATAATAAAAAAATATAAGGTGGGAAAGTAAAAACATATTTCACCCAAAAAGCGCAAGTTATGCTCTAGGGTTTTTATATCAGAGCACTTATATTATGCTCTGTTATTAATGAAAGTCACTAGCTCTATTTTTGACTTCAAACCCAAAGTCTTAACGGTATAGTAACTTCGTAAAGAGGTGTTTCATGAGGGGCGGGGCTCTTTGGATACAGGAGATCCAGCACTACTTATCGGAGCGAAAACTTTGATATTTAGGGGTACGTACTAAGGGGATGAGCCTTCGGTTTTAGTCAGAGTTTCTCTTATTAAAAAGGATGTTCCCTCTACTGAAATTGGGTTTTAAAAGTTATAAAAGTACTTTAAGATCATATTATAAATTTAAAATCATCTTAAAGTTTGTTGCTTTATAAAACCAAAGGCTAGTACTAACCACATAACCAGCGTTGCTAGAATTAATAAATTCTAAATAAGCCAATATTATTGCCACGTGATTTATGAATGAAAACTAATACCTTACGCCTTATTACTACTTAAACACAAGGTTATACTTATAAAAAAATAAGTGTTGTTCTTGGCGTACTAAGGTAAAGTAAAACTAAAAACAATCTTTAAAAAAAAGTATGGTTTTATAAATGGTTTACAGTCTTCTCATTAAGTCTAAGATGACCTCGAACTTTTTTTCATCCTACTTTCATAAAAAGAAAATAAAATTCACACAAAAGAAAAGATAAATAGTTAACTTGGTAATTCCAGTCCAATGTAAACTGGGCAGAGTCGGCAGTAATAGTAATAGAGCTCAAGCACAGACAATCGTTTTCGAAACAAAGATCATCTGAAAGACATTTCGGTAATTTTCTAAGACGAGTTATATTCTAAGGACTTTAGAGACAAGAAAAGTATACATATAACTTTTTTAAATAATAAAAAGCCCTTAACAATATAGCATAGACTGGACACATTAATCTTATTTTACCACCGCTAACCCACACGGTTAGATTAATCAAGACAACAAAGATTAATAAAGTAGTAAAGAAGAGGGCATACCTCTTTAAAAGGTTATAAAGAGAATGCAAAACAGAAGGCTCTTCGGAAGATTTCGAGCAAGTCAGATAGTTGGGAATCTTTAGAGTAAAGTTTAATTCCTAAAAGGTTAGAAGAAAGCGTTCGCTAAAAGAATTAGATAGGCAACAATAAAGTATCGATAAAGACATGTCGAGGTAAGCCAAGTTCGTCTACGGCAGAGCAAATATCGAGCACTTTCATAGTAGTATCATTTTCATTGGCGACTAGCACGCCATTAAAAGAGGTCGTCCACTTATCAGCGGTAAGTTGGGGGAGTTGGGAATTGTCCCATTCTATATACGGCGCCTGGTCGGTCCTGCCCCGCTTTAGTCGGAGGGCCATCTCTATTGGTTGCAAGAGTAGAGTCTCATGGTGCCAATGTAATCCAGGTACCTCTATCCTTCATCATTTTCTGGGTGGCCGCTTCCAGTAAAAGCGTCGAAAGCTGAACGGGGATTGCATGGACCCCCTCAACTGCCACCTAAAGTAGTTTTCAGTATAAAATAAGAATCCCCCCTCCCCCACCCCGCCAAAAAAAAAAAAAAGCGATACTGTTCGTCCGTTCTCCGGGAAAGTGCAAGGAATTTTCAACTCATGAGTTATTTTTTGCTGAAGAAACTTCATCTTGTTGGTCAAAGTCAAAAAATAATAATGAACTAAATTTTTCCTAACAAGTCTACTTTTTCCGCTTCTCCATGCACAAGCATAACATTCCTCGGTTCGGCAAGTCTTATCAATTGCATTATCCCCTTTGCATCTGCATGAGCGCTTCATGAAAAGTTGCGTTAGTAGGCGGCACGTTAGGCAAAACTAAACACATGCTACTCAAATAATATTAAATAAACTACTCTATAAAACACTAGAAACCCTAAACGTCTCATTCGTTTCATCAATATTGTAATGGTATTAAAGATTATGGAGTCGTTTTTAAACCTGAAGGACAAGTGCTCCACGGAAAGCCGGACGTCTATGAGGCGACCATCGCACTCGATCCTCTTTTGGCCGGATAACACCTCCATGATGAGGACAGTAATAATTGTCAGGACAAAAAAAAGAAGCCTCAAACTTTATGGCCAACTGTTCCAGCAACGCAATAGCCAGGCATGATTACCATGTTGTTGGAGTCGGGAGCCCTGTTACAATAATTATACATAACAGTAACTTCGTTAAAGGAACTTGAGAGAGAGTGCAACCATTTACAAAAAACTTCTAAAGATAGGCCCGCATGGAGCATACCTGGCGTAGCAAACAAAACCTGAAAGTACATTACTTAATACGTATCTCAAAAAAATAGTTAAAAAGTAAAGCAAAGAAGAGATCAAGGCATCAGTGAACAAGTGTTTTTTCTGGGTAATAGTTTTTTAATTACAAGTATGCAATAAAAAGCACAAAAATGAGTACAACTTTAACAAAGGTTTATATAAAATACTGTAACACAAAACTGCTTTTAAAAAAACGTGGTCGCGCATATACGATGCTTCTTCAGCTTTCGCAGAATCTAAGTAAAAGAGACGAGGAAAACCTGAGCTCCAGGGGCCATAATATTGCTCCGGTCAAAGGAAGTAATGTGCTTAAAGTCAAACATATTGCGTTCCAAAAACGTCTTTTTGATTTTCTCATTGGTCCAATTGATAAACATTTTATAGTAGTTGGTGGCTTTTTCTATAAAAATAAGTTACAGTTCACTAGTGCCAGCAAAAAAAATATAAACGTTACGATAAGGTAAAAGCGTATCAGTGTAGAATGATATGGACCAAAAAAGAATGCTGACCAGTTAACCCCGCGGCAAAATAGATTGGGACTTTCAAATTCATTCTTTCCCAAAACGTTTCGAGAAGTATACAAAGTTCCTGAGCTCTTCCCAGAGCAAACACGGGGATTAAAACCTTCAAAGGAAAAAGTCGATTAACGCTAATAAAATAAAAATAAATACTAGTAAATTATTTGTTTCATTTCTATAATAGTATAGACTATAAATAATAAAAACTAATAAACTTTTCCGCCTTGTGAAATGCAGTCATAAACTTTTTTTAAAAAGTCGCGCTCTCGGCATCTGTAAAGAAGCAAAATGTATAAATTTTTTCAAAGGGCAAGTCGAAAAGGTAAAAACCTTTTTGAATCACGAATAGTTGTGGCATACGTCGACTCGGAAATCAGAACGTCCGGCCTGCACTTGTCAATCCACGCCGCCCCTTAAAGGAAAATATAAAAAGTAGAAAGCGTAACCGGCCCATTAAACTGTCATTCCGAGAGTACAACTACCCATTTATTTTTTCACTACCATACTAAAGCTTTAAGAACCAAAAAAAAAGAAAGCGCTACCAAGATGGCGGTCAGGAGTCATGTTGTAGTCGCCCGTATAGACACAGGAAGCATCTCCCACTCTAGCAAAAAACATGGCTGCTCCAAGCACGTGGCCTTACAAAAAAAGCAGGCGAAAGTTAATCATATAATGAAATACTAAAAGTTCATGACTATAAAATTGTTCTACATGAAGATATCACACTATAAACATTCTTTATAAATTAAATATATACATAACTTTTAAATGTGTATAAAAAGTATACGTAATTATTTAACAAACATACCAGGCTTTTATTTAAATCTTATGCTTTTGAGTAAGTTAAGTAAAAGAACTTTATCTTGTCAAGAAAAAAGATTTCTTATTAAGAACATAGATAACGAAATAACCGGCATAGTAAGCTTTAATCTCCAAATCATCATCGACATGAACAGTCTCGTGAAGTCTTATGGTTCGGACCTTAACAAAAATATAAAAGAGGGTGATGTGATAATTACAAAACAAAAGAATTTGATATATTTTTTTCAAAATAATAAAGAAAAATAATAAATAAGTAAGTCTTTAAATAAATAATAATCATTCTAATATAAAAAACTTATTGTTTTACCGAAACTGGACTTTGAATAAGTAAGAATAAGGATAAGACTATAGCCTTTACCATTTTACTTCATTATAATTCATCTTCTTTCTCCAATTGCTTTTTCCTCTATTTTATTTCCAATACTACTCCGTCTACGATTCAACTAAGGCAAAATAACAAACAACCGGAACGCCAATACATTCGCCCTCAAGCACTCTTAACCAATAAACAAACCGACAGGGCAGGAGTACGACTGTAAATCAGAAAATGGCTTCGTTTTCCTCTGCAGCTCTGTTATTCGATATTTTCTTGAGCTTTTTCTACTAAATCAGAGGAAGAGCAAACACAAAAGTTCTCTCAATACTTCGCTGAGTAAGTAGTAAAACGCATCGTATTTTTATAACGTCATGCATAATTATCTTTACTCTTCGATGTTGGTTATTAATTACTTATAACACCGTATGTACTCACCACAAAAAACTCGTAAATATATGAATTTGATAAAAAACAAAATACAAAAGATATTATAAAAAGAGTTGACTATTTACTAAATCTTTAAAAACTGTTAAAGAGTTAAAGAGAAAAGAAAAAAAAGAGAATACTAAAAATAAGCATTATTAATAAATTAATAAGTAAAAGTAGTATAAAAGTCTACTTTTTTCATAGACTGCTTAATCATTTCTGAGGTGAAAAAGTTTTCCACTCCTTTTCGTGAAGTCTATAATAAAAGTTACCTTGTTCTTTAAATATTTAAATTCATGAATAAAGGAAGGTTAAACAACCATTATCCTCCTGTAATCTTCCAGGAGTATCGGAGCGATCGCTTTGGTTGGCTGTGTCATGTAGATGGGCCCCTCATAGCCAATCTTTTAACGGTAACAAAGTAAGTCTTTCGTAACTTTTACTTCGTTTTGATTATAATACTTGCCTAAGTTTTATAGTGAAGAACACTTGAAGTAAATTTAGGATACGTTATATGTTATTAGTTTATTCTTATGTATAAGAATTTACAATATTACTGCGTATACTCTTAATAAACAATGTTCATTATATATTTATACAACTTATTGTAAAAAACCAAAGTTAAATTTGTTTATATTTATGCAGTTTAAGCTAATAACTCTGTTCAGCATAATATAGCTAAAACACCACTAATAGAGTAAACAAAATTTTACGTAATTTCAATAGTAATATGCAGAGATCAAAATTAAAAATGCTATATTTAAATTTATAAATAATTAATTTACTAAAAAAAAGATAATCCAAGACAACACACTTAAATAATAAAAAAATTTATAGAACTGGCAATAAGTTTCCGGATTGTGGTATATATATAAAAAACCATTTCCGTGAAAAACGGCAGAGCACCACAGTGATCTAAGTGGAAATGTGTGATTATCACAGCGTCAAGATGCTGATTAATTTTTGACTTGGTCTTGGAAATGTAATTAAAATCTATTATTACTCAGTGAGTTCAAAAATAACGTAATGCTAAATTTAAAATATATATTATATTAATATTTAGGTATTTTTTTTAGGAATGTTTGAGAGCCAGAATTTTCCTGTTCGATTTAAAATTATCTTTTCCTAAATGTAACTTAATTATTAAAAACTAACAGTTTGGTAAAAAAAAATTGCTTTCGTCCACTTAGGCTTGTGCTGCAGTATATATATACATTTAAAAGAGTTATAATGTACACTATTTAATACGTATAAAGCGAATTAAAAGGCGACGATACCTGGAAATCTTCTATCATCAGAATAACCCATATGCATGCCGCAATCAAACATAATATTTTTACCATTTAAAGTTACAAGTACACAACTTCTCCCAACGTCTTGTAAAAGTATTAATAATTAGAAAAATCTAGGTAACTAAAACGATTTAAAATAACAAAAATTAAAATCTTAAAGTAAAAGGAGAAACGCACTAGCTAGAAATAAATAACTATACCTTGACCTGCTCCAAGAGGTACAACCTTAATTTGCATAACCAAAAACGTGGATGACAAAAAAAAATTCAGGTTGACAAATCTAATAAAAATAAAAATATTGGTAATTAATTAATGTTACTAGTACCTTACTTTAATAATGTTAAGTGCTTGCTTTAAAGTAAGGTTCAATAAATTAAATAAAACAGTTAGAGGGGGGAAAAACAAAAGTTAACAAAATAAACCAAAAAGTGTTAAATCCTTCCTTAAAAATAAAAAGTAAGGGTACAATCTCATACTGCAATAAAAGTTAACGTCCTTTTATACACCTAAAAACAAAGGGATAAAGTGTTAAAAAATTTTATCCTAGATTTTTAGCATAAAGCCGCCTTCTACAAGAGCTATCTTTTTATTAAAAAGTGGGTGGTAAACAGTAACTTTTTAAAAGACTTAATTATATCAACCTTAAAAATGTACTTAGTAAAAGATTCTACTTAACGGTATACGATATGGTATAAGAAAAAGGGTTCTCACGTGCAGCTTCAGGCGTCTTTTAGCATATAGACTCAATATTTGTTGTTCTTAGTACTAATAGCTCAGAGCTAACGAATTCTAAAGCTGAAAAGCGCTACCTGTTACGTACATTTAGTTGATATATAAAATTCGATTATTAATACACAGCTAGTAACGCATCGTAAAATTTATACGAAAAGGGTGAGAAATTTGTAAATGGAAAGTTCCTCGGAAAGAAGCTACTGTTATGGTTTAAAGCAGAGAAAGAAATGTTAATTCCAGTAAGAAATCGGATTTTTCTTGTAACGGTATAATATCTGCTACCTTTGGATCTACCCCTTACTTAACTTACTACCCTTTATTTAAACATGTACTTAATTCGCGTTTCCTTTGGCAAACTAAAACGTCAACACAATTCTCTTTGCGTATTTAAAAGACCTTAAACCGTTTAGTCTGTGTTCCACGAGACTGCCCGACAGTGCACTCTTAGAAAAGAAATATTATGGCTGTTCCGAGGGAATGAGAGTAACTGAGAAACATAATACCTGTGTGGTTGAAAACCACACTGAAAAACTACTAGGAAAGGAATAGCAGCTCAGGCGTTAAATAAAGACATTCCCGACAATAAACTTCCCATTCATAAGAGAAGCTCAAGAATGATAAACTATACATACTTAAAGTTAAAGTACTTAGGCATATTTAAACCTTTCTTTATGCAAAGGTAATACGTAGTAAATAAAAAATTAAATCTCACAATAGTTAAGATCGACGGTACGCCTAAGCGTCAAGTTGCATGTTCTATTTCACAATTCTCTGATTTATTTAGGAGTTAGGTACTGGCATCAAAGCTACTGTACAATTTGTTTAATTTATTTATTAGTTAAATTTTGTTAATTTAGTTATTTATTTATTTATTTATTAGTTAAATTTGATGGATTATTTATAATAACTTTAGTTTGATTATTTTTGAAATGTAAGTTCGATGATATTTTATTATATGATTTATTTTCTTTCATTTGATTTTAGTTTAATTAGATTTTTCACTTTATTGTATTATAATTTTTATTTTATTTTATTTTTGTTATATATGATAGATAGTTTAGACCAAGCCACGAACTTTGTACGAAATATCTAGTCTAATAAATTCTGAGCGAACCTTTTTTGGCGCACTCGCGATGTATACTAGGGTTGACTCCATGCGACAATCCTCTGTGATGTTAGTTGGTTAGAAATAACAATGATTAGCCTAATGAAACTACTTTAATAAAGTGTTACCTTGAACATGTAAACTGTAACACTGATGCTAATCACTTTGATAACTTGCTTTTTTTTAAGATAAATATTAGCCTATCAGTTATTAGATTGATAGCCAAAAGAGAATTAACTCTAATTTGTAGCTAAAGTTACTTAGATAAGCTTTATAAATGATTGAGATATAAGCTTACACACTGAAGCTCAAAATTGTTTATACTTGTTTATAACAATGGTTGTTAGGTAGAACACAATAAAAAATAGCATAATTAACTAAAGTTAATAGAATCGTATAATGCTCAAATTAATAACAAAAGTAATTAAATCTAAGAAATTACCTTATCGACCATAAAAATTTCCTTAAACATAGTTAAAATTTATATATAAGTAAAATGCTTGTACTTAAATAGGAGGCGTTTAAGCTTAATTAGAAGGCGATACATTTTTAGAATTTTATATTATTTTTTTTATATAAAAATAGTTTTCTTGAAGGGCTTTAACCTTTATTCAGTTAAGAATCTCGTATAACTGTTATTTAGTAATTTATACAATTTCATTGGGGTTGCTTCTTGAGCTGATATAATGGTTGAACCTTACACCCCTGGTAGTTCTACACTAACTTGGTAACCTCAAGTCGTTTTTGTGTTGATTTAAAACGCGACATAACAAAATCACGTATCCTAGTTATTTTTTAAAAAATTTATTGTAAAGTGGTTGATATTAAATACCTTTAAACACCTCTAAAAGGTATTAAGACAAAGTTAAATATAAATTTTGCTACATTAAATATGTCTATCTACTAAAACGCTTAAGGAGGTTAACTTAAAATATGACTCTCATAGTAAGCAAGCTTTTGTCACCTTTAAAGGTAACTAAACATACTAATTGAAAACTCCTCTTTTTTTTAAGGGGAAGTTCTGCTACCCCTTTTATAAAGGAGATTAATATCAGGCTTTGTAAGCTTTAAAAAAATTCAAGTTATAGGTTTGTATTATATAAAGGTTTATAACTTATTTTTCTAGAATTTATTTTTTTACAGTTTATGATTACGTACATTCATTCTTGTCGGTTAACGTCCAAGGTTTACATTGGTGTGCGGTAATAGAAATAGTAAAATAGTCGAGTCACATTAAATCTTTAAAGTTCTGTTTCCTTTGAGCTGCTCAGCATCTTGAAGGGGATATGTAGGTAAATTTGTACTTAATCTTTATTAAAAAGTTGACCCTTTTGAAAGGTAGAGGGTGAAATGCACAAAGGGGAATGAGCCTGCATTGAACATGCAACTCGCCTCCGGATGGCAAACCCTCGAGTAACCTAGATCGAAACCATCGGAAACCCTTTGGGAATAACACCAAGACGAGACGCCCATTTATTTTACGTCCAATGAAGAATGTACAAAGCGAATAAGAAAGTCACAAGATATGACTAACGGTCGAGTGCAACCCGAGATGTAAAGTGCTACTATTAATAACCCAACCTCTCGCCGTTGACATTAGACTGTTTCTTTAAAGGATCATCTACGCGTACCTCGCGGTAGTCAAAGTATTCAAAAGGTTGCATACGCGCATCCCCACCTCAGTGGCATAACCAGTAACGCCTAAGCGTATATGATTTAATCTTTAATGAATTATTTTTTCCTCAATTGAGAGTGAAATGTAGGTGAAAAATGCAATTTTAAAGTGTTTCTAACGAACCATAGAAAGCAAGTTAGAAGCCAGTGTATGGCAAAATACTTGAGACCTTTATACGTAAAAAGGTTTTATGGTCCTTAACGCATGCGTTAAATCAGTGTAATTTAGCCTAATTACATGTATAGTGGTCACACTTTTAAAAGTGGGGATATCGCGATATAATTAAGTAATAGCTTTTGGTTCACATCAAAGTAGCTTTCCTGCTTTTTAGTCTGTCCAAGCTATTATAACGGCATAAATAAATGCTTTTACATTTACAAGTTAGACGAGCATGGTATTGGAATTTCAAACTAGTTATTTCTTCCCATATTCTTGGCCTAAAGTTACCCTTGGCTCCTGGCTGAAATATCCTAATAAACATACTTTACACGTAAAAACGGTTGATGTTATAGCTCGAAACTGCACACCCAGCGAGGTTGTCTCTACTCGGTTAATAAGTTGCGAGCAGAAGGTTTACATTAATATAAAAGTTGTTTTTGCTTCTAATACATGCGTAATCTTTAATTTATTCATGGAAAGTAATTGTTGTATTAATGCAAGAAAAGTTAATAAAAAGGATTGAAATGATCTAAACAGTTTAACTTCGGTATGCAATTAGTATAGTTTACTTGTTAATAGGTTCATCCTTTTCTCGCTCGCTTCCTCGGTGGAGATACAGAAAAGGCTTACGTTTGTGAAATGTCGTTGGTTAGCTTAAAGGACAGGAGAATGATCATTTATTCACAAAATCTTACTTTTTCGAATTTGGTGGTCGTCGAGGAAACATGCACGTACACACCCGATCCAAGGTTTACTTTGACAATATTATGCTTTAGAGTTTAATATATATAAACTTTTATATCAGTGATATATATAAAAAGACTCTTTTTTTTCAAAACGTTCGAATTGAAACTAGAGGCATACCACCATTTTTTTCGGGCGTTGTGGAATCTATACTCGTTACACAATTTAAAAAAAACGCCAACACAGGTTTTCAAAATTTTAAAAATTGTTTGTTAGTTGTATAAACAACTATTTTAGTCGTTCTTACTAAATTGAAGGCTCCTCACTTAAATAATTTTTAAAATTCCTTTTTTTTAAGGATTAGATTATATGCGCGCTTTGATGTATATTGAGAAATTTTTATTCTTACTGGAACATTTTCTATTGTTATTTTTTTGTTAAAGTCGTGTTTTTTTTTACTTTCTTCAAAGAGTTATAGCATATAAAACCAATTTGATTTTTTATATTTAGTAGGGCATTTCTAATTTTTCATAGTATTGTTGCCCATATTTTTATGCATAGGGATTTTATTATATATAATTTGACAGTCTTTTGGCATATATAATATATTGTTTTGAGTGGATTCCAGTAAAAAGTATTGGATTTGGGTTTATTGTAGATAATTATTTTTGAATTTTTTAGTTTAGATTAATTTTATATTGAACACCTTTTCTGAAATTTATTTTTTTGTTTAAAAGTTTTTTTTTCCACTAATTATTCTTTTGAAATTGACATCGAGATTAAAAGTTTTACTACTACTTATTAGGGAAGCTATCTATATAATAGTTTTATCATTTTATATTTAATTAAAAACTCTTGAGCATTTTACTATGAACGATAAAATTATTTGAAAAAAATCATAGGAA